CAAGAGAGAAAGTATCTGAGAGATCCTTTTACCTCATGCACAGCTGTTCTGAGAGATTTCAAGCCACATTTGACAGAGTATGAGCTGGAAGAAATCCTTAATTAAATCCTTAAATCCTTAATCCTTAATCAAGTCCTTAATTAAAGTAGTCCAGGACTACTTTATTGCCTTTGAACAAGCCCTGTAAAGAAACAAGTCAAGTAGTACATGAATTATAATGAAAAAAAGATTGAATATCCTGTAAACAATTTGATTTGGCTGCAAAATATTAACTCAAATGAAGATTTTTTAAGACCTCCGGTTTCTACAGCAATTAAAAGCGAATTGGCCTTCTTTGTATAATCCCTAGACATGTAAATAGTGCTTTTATCAGTGAACTATTTGTGATGGTCATGTAATTGCGCAAGTGCGCCAAGTTAAAAAAATTCAGAGGTGCACGACCAAGTGCCTCGACCACTTATCTACCGCCCTCCTCGCGCCGGCTTTACTACGGCGAGTATAAACTAAGCTTTAGTCTGGAAGATTCTAGTGTCAACGCAGCACCCGCTCTTAAAACTGAAAGTAAACGTTAACATTTTGTAACCTTAGGCGCTAGTCACATCACTCGTTTGTCACTTGCACGGGAGTCGGTAATGAGTCAAGTTAATGCCTATGATGCTCTTTTCCTAAAACTAACTTAGTGGTTTTGCAGACATGGTGTATTTTGAAAACGTGCTATATGCACGTAACAAGCGCGTATTTTGACACATTGTCCCGACACGTTGAAAACTAACTCTGGAGGAGTACCTGATGCGTCCATCTGCGGTGCCAAGTGGCAACGACCAAGCGTCGGTATTTGACGAGTTGGGAGTGAGAATGTGTTGGTCCGCCGTTTGGTGCTGGAACGCTGCATCAGGAAACAAGGTTGATGAGAGCAGAATTTGCAGGCCTGAAATCCAAAACAAAGAGCTAAAATATGCTGAAACACACTGTCATTTGACCCGTATTTTATAAAAATATTGATAAGTGCTAACTTTAATTTCATGGTAATACAAATGATTTGAAACATCCCATCTAATCACTTCCGTGCTGGGTTGATTTAAGTTTTTGTCTGGGTTTTTTTTTCACCCCAATGGTAAACTTTTTGAAAAAGCTACAACCCTTTAATCCATGGATCACCAACGACCACTTGGCCTACCACTTTGAGATCCTGGAGGTGATCGGCAAAGGCTACTCTGGCTAGGTCCTCAAATGCATGGACCACAAGACCGTGGAGCTGGTGGTGATCAAAGTCAACCGAAGCAATGACTGATAGCACACCAAAAACATTACAAAACGGGAAAGTCTGACATGTGAGACTTTAGCTTTTAATCAGAGGTACCCAGTGGAGTTGTGTTTGTATCCAATGTTTCATCTGGCACATTAGTGTCACCAACAGTTGATTAGTGTGACACTGTCAGAAACTCCATAGGGTGGCTTTAATACTTTAGTTTTTACCTGCAGCCACGTGGTTAAAGAATTAATATCATTCTCTGTGGTCCAATGTTGTTGTTTTTTAGAGTTTATCACCTGGGAAAGGCTGAGGTGGAGATTTTAGAAACCTTGCATGAGCTTGACAGGGACAACGCAGCCAACATTGTCCACATGAAGGAGCACTTCTACTTCCGCAATCACCTCTGTGAGGAGCAGATTGGGAAAACACTTCTGAATTTTATTGAGTCGCAACTATAGCAGCGCAGGTTGAGTGAGATGAAGAAGTTAAAGTAAGGTGTCTCACATTCATTGTCAGAACGGATCTACATAAAGCCTTAAAGAAGACCAACCAGCAGGGCTTCAGTGAGAGAGCGAGGTGAGGAAATACGCCTTGGACGTGCTGAAGTGTCTGCAGATGCTCAAAAAAAATGGGATCGTCCATGGCAACCTCAAACCGGTAAGATCCATTTATTTGCCCTATATGAAATCATTTCCCATTTTCAGAAAAATTAAGGATAACTTCCATAAAGACAGGAGACAGAAAATACAAAACACACAGAGGCACTTTAACTGGGTCAACACAGGGTCAACGCAGGGGGCTCCAGTGTCTGTGTCCCCCAGCCCTCATGAACCCCCCAACACCCACGTCCTGGTCCCCGGATCCCCAGGGCAGAAGACTGAGTCACCCCCCTCCTCTTCCCCTGTCCCCTCGCCAGTGGTTGAGTCCTCACCCCCTGGTCCCTTGGCCACAGCCCCCCAGGTGGCTCAGCAGCGAAGGCAGAGGAGGCCTTCGGCCATTTCAGAGACTTCCATCGGGGATGGGAAATAGTTAGAAGTGAGAGTCTACGTACCAGAGAGGGCAAGAATGCGCCCTTTCCTGTTCTGTGACGTAAGCTCTGGAGGGTTGTTTGTCATGTTCACTTTTGTGAGTTTGCTTGGCACTGTTTTGTGTGGTTTAATAAACCAGTTCATGCGAGAACTGTACTATTGTCTCCAACTCATAAGTGGATCATTACAATATCATGTTAATGAAGCTAACATAATAGGCTGGTAACAGTTAACAGGTGGCTTGACGTTAGCTAAGGGCGAAACTGTTAGCCGTTAGTGCTGTACTCCAAGCCTTCGCCACTTTTAAAAAAAAGTTATCTTTAAGCTTACTTTAAACTGGCTAAATTATCTGTATGGTTAGTTATCGTGTTACTTACGATAATTGGAAGTGTGCTCCCAAATCGCAAGAAGACGTCATACGTCACCACGCATTCATTTTCTTTAAGCTTTGTGGTTTAGCTGAACCGGTTCCACAGAGGAAGAGATCTGTTGTGACATGGCTTGGGGCTTAATAGAGAAATCTTGAGAGAAATCTTCGATCCCCTAGCGCGCTGCCTGCACACCCTTTTACTGTGGAGCGCTCCTTCTGCGCTCTACGGGGGTAAGAGTGAAGACCCCACCCCCCCACCTCACATCACAGCATGTCGTAAAATAATGTTACAAAAGCTATCAGATCCACTTGGATCCTAGGCAAAGGCAACTTAGGGATAACCAACAGAGCAGTCATGGCCTACGGTTCAATAAGTATCCCAGTTAGCTCATTCAACAGTATTAAAAATCACAGTCATAGACAGAGACAGAGATCAGGCCGGAGACTCTGGGTGTTGAAAGTAAGCGACCAATCAAAGGAGCGAAGACATCAGCCGTATCTAAGTGGAAGTAGCGTAGTGCCATTTTAAGGCCTTGAGCTCGGCATTTTGGCCGTCGCCATCTTGGTTTTTTGCAACCAGAAGTTGTTATCAAAATGTTTAGATGTTTTTTTCACCATGGCAGTCAACTCTGGAAATGTATCTTAAATATAAATCTCTGTTTTGCTTCACTCTTTTGTTGACACTGAGTTGCTTATTGAGTGTCAGTTTTGCTAAGAGTGTCAGTTTTGTCTGAAGGAATGCTATCGCATTCAGCAAAACCAATTTTGCATATTTTTACTGCGGTAGTTTAGTAAGAAACAACGAACTGTTGGCCATCTTTTCGCAGACGTAACACCATTTCATGGATATTAATGGAATTGCTATAAGTTGTGCTATAAGTAGCATGACAGTTTCACCAAGAATCAACTTATCAGTTTTGATAAGCAATCCATGTGCAAGTGTTTTTTTTTGCAAAGTGCAGACAACTGCACATACTCTTTTGAATAAATGAGGAATTCAAATCTGTTGCAAATGGTAAATTAAAAGACTGCCGCAGGGATGATGTATGAATAACTTTATTATAATCATCATTTAAATTAGGTACATGCATATGAAATAAATTTAACCTCTGCATTTTACCCATCCCTAGCATATTGGGAGCAGTGGGCTGCTGTGAAGCACCCTGGGAGCGATTATCAGGATCAGCTTTATTGGCGTACGCATATGGAATTTGACTCTGGTTTCCACTTCGCTCTCAATGTACATACACAAGTTTACAATAAACAAGAAACAAATATATATATAAAAAATAAAACAAGGGCAACAAAAAAAGTAGAACAGATGTAGGTATAAACATTTTACAACTATGTACAATACTGTAAGTATAAATATATATCCAAAAAAGTATATATATATTTGTATATATAAAAATAAACCTATAAACAACAATGGCAAAGGAATTGATGTGGTGGTAATAGTGCAAACAGAGGTAGTAGTGCAGTATGTCTGATTAATTGTTCATGAGCATGACAGCCAGTGGAAAGAAGCTGTTCCTGTGTCTGGTGGTTTTGGCGTACAGAGCTCTTTAGCGCCTACCAGAGGGGAGGAGTTGGAACAGGTTGTGTCCAGGGTGTGAAGGGTCTGCAGTGATCTATCCTGCCCGTTTCCTGACTCTGGAGGTGTACAAGTCCAGGATGGAGGGCAGGCTGGCACCAATGATTTTTTCTGCAGACCTTGACAGCCACCTTATCTGTTTGATCTATTATTTATTATTGCTGCAAAGTAAAACGTTGTACATTTGCTTTTAATACACCAGAGGGCAATATTGATGTATGCTTTAAAGAAAAGAAAGGGGGGGAAATAGATATTGCCTGGCACTTTATCATCAACAAAGGAATGACACCTTACATAAGTAATGTAAACCCAATATTTTCCTCTCACATCTGGGGGGGGGGGTTCTTCATCACCTTATAGTTTTTTTTTGTTTTATTATTAGTATTAATGTATATTTTAAAAATCTGTACTCCGCGCCAACGTGCTATTGTTTTGCTTCCGCCATTAATATTACCAATCCGTTTAGCTTATTGGTTGATACGGCTGTTGAAATACCGCCTACTTTTAGGTGACGCATTTTATTGGTCGTGGTTTCGGTTTTGCATAAAGTGAGTCGCAAGGATTGGTCTACACAAATGTCAATTGTCTTCGGCATATTGTGTGAAGTCCCGCGTACTCTCGCGCTGATTGGATAAGAGGCCAGCCTGCAGCGGAGCTGAGACTGAAGATTGGCTAAAAAAGACGTCAGTCATGATTCAATCAAAAGACATTGGTTGATGTTAGTGCAGTATTGAGGGATTTTGTTTTCTCCCAAAACCAGTCAGAGACGGCAAGACATACTTCAGCGATTGTCACATAAATATAATGTTTTTATCAACGAAGCCGACGGTATACGCCCTGTGGACTTAACCCTACACCTACAAGTATTATAACTGTGAGTAAAACATCCATCTTTGTTTGTAGTTCCCACGCGGGCAGTCAGACGCGGACACTGAGTGGACTTATAACGTTAGCTATCTCAACTATGTTGTTGTCAAGAGAAATTAGCTCACTCAACGTTGGTGTTTTTATCAGTGAACGCCCATTTCAGAGCATGAACTCATTAGAGAATAAAGTATTTGTTTCGTGGGCACGTGTCAAAAGTGTGACTTTTAACCAGGTAGGTGTGAGACTATTAACGTTAACGTGAGTTAAGTTGAAAGGTTTGGCTATCAACAACACAGAAGTTGGTTTCACAGCAGAGCTATCGCTACCTCGTGCTACTGTAACGTCACTGCCCAACTTGTTCAAAATTGTAAAGATTTAGAAAGACGTATATATAAGGCAACGCCGTATAACACGTATTAATTGATTACATGTTCAGTTAGCAGCTAGCCAGAATCACACGCTGGTGTTGCTGATCGAATGACCGAGTTATTCGGTTATTAGCTCGGAAGCTAACTGCGAGAACATTTTCCAATCGCCGGGAAATTGTTAAGAATTTAGAGCAACTGGTCTTGTAGAAACCTATTTAATCGTATAACGAGTTAAAGCCGTGGTGTCAGTGAAGTGTCATTATCAGGTTTAGCTGTCAGTCAAAGCAGAGGGTCCCCCTTTGTTTTCACCCGTTTCTTAGTAACATTTCCTGGTCTTTGCAACTTCACGTTATTCTCTGATCACGCGGCCATGCTGGTTAATCATTTAACGATTTAAATGATTCAAGCGGGCCTGACATGGCTCGTGCACACTTCAAAATACAAGTGTGCGTTGACACGCGCACACCCTCTCTGGGTGATGTTTACTTACAGCGTCTCAGTGCCATGGTGTGGTCTCCATGAACATATTCCATTTCATCCTCAAAGGTTGATGAAAGAAATCAATTATTTATAATGAATTCACGTGCTCTGTTTGGATGAAGCTCTATTTATTTTACTTATTTGAGCATCGTTTATTTATTCTTTATTATTGGACATTTTAATTCACAGCTTATTGTACCACAATGTTGTCTTCTCGGTACATTTACAGGCAAAAAGATACTGTACAGTTAGTGTGTGACTGAGTGAGAGAGACAGTCTGTGTGTGTGTTAAGAAGTACAAATTCTTGAGATCTCCTGTCATCTTTGTACTGCCGGTCCTACAGTACAACTACAGTTGGTCACTGGGCGCTGAGGCCATACCGTGGCAAAGCATCAGATGTTGAGGCGCATTGGTTTATTCATTTGATGAATTCATGGCCCAACCTCTGAGAGCTGTTACTTTATGACATTAGTGTCACAGAGCGAGAGAGCCTGATCTGCGTCTTTCCTCTCGCTGAACAATGGAGTGTTGGCAGGCAGCCTCCTCGTCTTCTCAACTTCCCTTCCTGCAGCTATTTCTAGCTAAATGGAAAGGGTTGCAAAAAACAAATCTTTAGATGATGCACAGAGACGACTGAGAGGGAGGCAGGAAAGTAAAGGAGAAAGAAAAGTGTTCATCCTTCTGTACAATAGAGAGGGGGGGGGGGGGAAACACGTCATGGAGTTGAATTTAATGCACAAATGCTCTGCTTGGATTTCTCAGTTACATTTTGAAGAATTGTGCTTTTGAAAACTCAACCTAGATTTGTGAAAAAGGAGAATTTAGATTTGTGTTTGCCCTTAAGACATTGAATAAATGTCGTGTTTCGTTCTGTCATATTGAAGCATGCACACGTGTATGAAATCTAAAATATATTTTCTTTTTTTATAATTGCACAAAAGCTTGAATCTGGACCCGGTTGTGTTGGACTTTAAGGCCTTGTTCAGACTGCCAGCTCAAAGTTGTTTTCCGGTAAAATGATACATTTAGGAAGTCTGGACAGCAAAAAGTCACATGAAATGCAACATTTTTTTTTTTTTTGCAAATCTTATCCAAACCGCATTTGGAGGTGGTTTGAAATGTGGTTCCAATCGGATGTCTACGATGCGTCTGAGTCCGGACTTTCTGGCGTTTTTATTATCGGATCTCAAAGTGTGGAAGTGCGGAACAGATCCACAAATCTATGCTCAGTAGGAATTTGATTGATTTTGTTATTTGTGTCTCTATATACATAATTTGTATGTTGCCATTTATTGTGCGGCCACTGAGAAAATGACCAGCGTCAGGAGGATGACTTTGATAACTGCTTGTATGGCCTAACCCTACAACAATGACAACACATTAGTCTATAACGCTTTTTTCTCTGATGCGGAGCGAAACTCCAAATGCAAAGGAATTAGACATCACAGCAGTGGTATGTGGGGATTATATCAATCAGATCCATCGGTCCTGCACCTACAGCGCTCAATGATCACATAGGTTCAATTTTGGTACACTCGGCTTGACCTTTGCTCCTGGTGTTAGTGTCCAAGTTTGTAGTTCAGTGGGTTCAGTGCTCACAGAATGGTCTTCAGCATCCTGCAGCTTGATTACGTGAATAGGGGTCACTGGGGGTTTGCTTCGGTCTGTCACTTTAAGATAACCTCGAGAGACTAATAATATCTTTGGTAGAGCTAACGTACGGTTGAGTGTTGGAGAAATGCTCATTTTAAGTATGCAGCTCTTCAGAGCAAATATAGCAGAATCGTTTTTGCAATCTTTTAATGATCAATCCTGCAGCCCCACCATCCATTATATCGTTCAATGCAACTTGAATACATTATTTACTTCTACAGGTCTTAGAATATATATATATATATTTTTTTTATATATATAGTAGAACTGGAAAGAGTTAAAAAGACTTCTCCAGAAATTGGCCTTTTGTTGAAGAACCGTCTGCACACTTGCTCCCTTACTCAGTCACACACACACATGCTGAGTGGCCACGGGCAACAAGTCCAGTGGTGCAGCTATGCTGTCTGTGGGAAAACAAGCTCAGGCCTACTGACTACCAGCCTCTTTGCAAGTCTATTCAGCAGCGCTGTTGATATTCCACTGGCGGTGTGTGTGTGTGTGTGTGTGTGTGTGTGTGTGTGTGTGTGTGTGTGGGGGGGGAAGATAGGGGGTATGGTACTAGGATGCAGAGATCATAATACAAGTGATGACATTTTTACCAACAAGGATTCAGAGGAAGATGAAGAATGGGGCCAATGTCATCTCTAGTTCACTTCTAAATGTGGGTTCAAATTTCCTTCACACTGCTTTTAGAGTTGAAAAACATATTTTCCACATGTCATCTGTTCTTTAGTTCTCTTGGTTGCATGACGTTAAAATTACTTGTGATGTTGACTTTGATCCAGCGGCACCGAAACAGTTCTGGTGGTCGATGTGGCACACCCACTCACTACTTTATGATATGAGTCGATACATACAGTGGCGGGTGCATCCTCCCTAAATCTCTTTGTGTTCACTGGTCCTGTGTAGCAGTCCTGGGGATGCAGAGCCCCCCCCATCTCCTGACCGTCAGTGCCTGTGCCTGGGTCAGCAACCTCTGTCACCGTAAGTTAGCCTGCAAGTAGAATGAAGCCCTGCAAACCCCCCCCCCCCCCACCCCCCTTTTTTTAATGTCCCTTTGGTGTAGTCATCTCTGCCTCCCCTCCCCCTCCCCTCCATAAGTCCCATCCATGCTTCGTCAGCCAGTTTGCCGGTGCAACAAGGGCCGTGGTTACGCATGTCTTTCCAATTCCATGCCATAATTTCTTGTTATTGTCGTTTTAAAGCTCTTATCTTAAAGCAGCAATATCAGGAAATGCTGTGTTTTTTATGAGCAGTGACTTCCCTTTGGGATGATGGAGACGTATGATAAGTTGTCCTGTTGTCCTGATGTCCACATTGCTGTCCACACCTCGCTGAGGTCCGAGATCGATGCCAGCCAGACCACCTCGGTATGCTGATCGGATCCCGATGCGAATTATCACTCTAATGAAGGCCATGGAGTGAATGGTCATTGACGGCCCAGTAGAGATTGGTCATTTAGCTGCAATGTTTCCATTTTGTGTGTGTAACGGATCACAAACCTCACGGTTCGGTTCGGATACTTTTTCGGATCAGCAAAGAAAAGGGGAGGAGACAAATATAACTTTGCTTTCCATTTATTAATTAAAGAACTTTAAGAACACTTAAAGCAAATAACTTTGGGCTCCAGAAAAACAAAAATATTGAAGATGTCCAATTTGAAATAAATAAATAAAAATAAAACATTCAAGAATACTCAATTCTGTTAAGTTTAAGTGCAACATGAGGTATGTTGATACCCTCGTCCTTTGATCAATATTGAAAGAAAAAAACAGCCAGTGAGCTAGCTTCCACTATTTCAACTGAACTGAACTGCTCGGCAACAACTTTGGTCTATGTTTACTTCCTGTCAGGTTATGTCATTCAAATACACAATAATGTTTACCATTACTGTGAATTGGTCTACAACTTAAATTTTTTTTTTCAAAAAGACGAGAATATCTCCATTGTCTGGGTAGAGGGTAGACCTTTCTGTGGTTACTATTGGACCTGTCTAGCTTCCACTCTGCTGCTTCTGTCAGCACCTGCGCCAGGTGTGTGTCTGTGTGGCTCTCACAGAGGGGTCGTGTCTACAGCACCGGACTATGAATCTCCCACTCCGCCGTGATGAAGTGAGCGGTCACTCTTTTCCTCTTCATAGAGGCCTGGAACGATCTTCATTCTGAAGTGGATGCGTGAGGGCATTTCGTAGCGTGGCTCAAGCACTTTAACCAGATTTTGAAATCCTTTTGTTTTCCACAACGGAGTGGCCCCCGTCGCTGACAGACCGGGGTGGTGGTGCTTCATATGTGTGGACATGTCCGATGTACGGCCGTTGTCGTATGTCTTTCTCTTTAAACAACGCCTACATACCGTAATGGTTTTGTCCACCACCCTTATCCGTCATTATAAGTTACAGGGAAGACAAAATGCTCCCAAACTTGCGACTTAAATGACGCCGGGGGCTTCTGAAGTTCCTCCGCTCGCCATGACTTTCATCGTTAAATGCTTTTAACCTGATCCGTTCACGTGAACACATGTTGGGAATAACATAGCCTCAAAAAGGGGGCACCATTATGTTGGGAACGTAAAGGAGCGTGTTTGGCGTGTTAGCATCTAAGAAACTAAATTTTTGACATCAATAGAATTATTAATGTCAGTAACAATTATTAATGATTATTAATAATAACGGGGCACCACCCTGCGAACAGGGACCAATAACCAAACGATAAAACTAAGTCTCATAATTAGTGTTCACTCACAATGTCAATAGTCTGAGTACTATTACACATTCAGAGTCAAAGTGAAGGTTTAAGTTCGAGCACAGACCACATATACAGCTATTATCACAATACACATGCAGCTGTCTGTAATCACAGACGGCTGCTCTTTAAAATATAACAGAGTTTATTACGTTCTAATACTAATGATCTAGTCAACTAATATCTAAACTAATAACAACTATACATTCATGAGCACGCTATCTAAAATCAACAGACGATTGAAAAGAGGGGTGTGTGTGTGTGTGTGTGTGTGTGTGTGTGTGTGTGTGTGTGTGTGTGTGTGTGTGTGTGTGTAAGGGGGAGGAGCGAGGGAACAGCTCAGCGACGTATGACGTAGTTGGGACGTCTCTCATGCGTGAGACTCAAAAATGGCGGATAACCAACAGGAGAACTGGCGTCTATACGTGCCGGTAGCCGTTTAGCACGTAGCTACATTAGCTCAAAGCTATATGTGTGTGTGGATTAGTAAAAGAGAAGGGAAAGGAACAAAATGAAATAAAACAAAAGATTAAGATCCTTCGCGCCACGCTGGAGTACGGAAGATTGCTCTCTCAGCCAGGGGAGCAAGAACCGCGACTCTTTGTCTCAGCCAGCGGTTCTGACCTCCTGAACTGATGAGAAGCAATTTCGACCTCACTGCGGCTGTCTCGACACGAATCACAGTAGCATGGAATACACGCTAACTTCTACACAACACTAGCAATTTCAGGGATCGCCAGTGTCGGTGATCATAAAGCATACACCACGTTATAAAAATGAACAGTACTTTAAGCACACAAACAAGATAAAATAAACACAAATTAACTCTAACTCTGCCCAGAATCTATTTCGCCTTACGGTACGATGCAATCGTGTTGGTTGAGGGGGGGATTCTTCTGAGCTTCCGTGGGCTCGGGCAGCGCGGCTGCGGGCCGCGGGAGGTGTTCTCTCGGTAGGAGAGAATCGCTGTCGTCTGGATAAGGGCTTTTCGCGTCCTTATGGCCGGAGCAAACGAGGCGCTCTCTCTCTCTCTCTCTGAAGAAGTCTTGCTTCTTCACTTCTACAGGACTAAAAGGGGTTCACTTCGTGGATACGAACACAGATAAAATAGACAGTTTGGTGAATTCGGCCAGCGAATATAAACTGTTAGACCTAGGATTTGGTTGAAAAGGGAAACAACGTTGGTGTGCTCCCTAGCTCGACGGAGGTCGAAGGGGGAAAAGCCTTGAGGTGGGGGTTGCAGGTAGTTTTGTAGAACAGTGGCTGAACCACAGGGGTCCTGGGGTGTCTTGGCTCTCGGCCAATTAGATTGCAGCGCTGCTTTCAGGTAACTTCAGGAACACAGTTTTTGGGGGGAGGAAACTCACACCCTAATGTGAATTTCTTCAGAGCTGGGGGTTTGGTGCTCAAACTACAATCAGGATGAAACCTTTGCTTGCCAAAGGGAAGGCCTGACTCTCTTTGTTCCACAGCACATGTCGAAGCCATATAGTCAGATCCCAACACACACTACTGCTTTATATCTGTTCACTGACATGTTGCATTGATATTCAGACCCTTGTTACTTGAAAAGGAACAGCAGCAGTAAAACTTTATTACACACTGATGATTAAACTGTAAAAATACTCAATTGATACGAACGGGGAGGTGTGATCCGAACGGGGAGTTGTGATCCGAACCGATAACTGCTCGATCCGTGGTCCTTTACACCACTAGTTGTAACCCAAGCTTCTCTGTGTTTGTTTGCATGTCCATGTAAGTCAGAGATGTACCAATTGATCGGCTGACGACCAAAAGCAGACGGTTTTCAGCAAATTGTGCCGCCAAATTAAGCGGTGAAAGAACAACCCTAAAACACTTGGAACAGCTACCTTAATCAGACACTGATTTTTATTTTTTTTATTGTAATTCATTCACATGCATGCTGCTCAGAGTGATCACACTGACCGGCTCGTCTGCCTCTCCATAGCACAGTCCTGCTTGTACCGGAGCTAACAGCTAACATTAACGGAAGCTGCATTGACTTGCAGGCTCTGGTAGCGGCAGCAACCTGTAGCGGCAGCAACCTGTCAAACACAGTAAGCCCGCCCTAAAGCATACCCTGCTTTATGGTCTATTTTACTCTAAATGGACCATAATTTACTAAATGAACATCATCATTGAAGAAGACTTGAAACTAGAGATTGAGACGATAAGCTCATGAGGTAATAAATTAAGAGAGTAGTAGAGTCATTTTCTCATAGAATCTAACTTCTTTTTGCAACCGGAGGAGTCGACCCCTACTGGTCAGTAGAAAGAATGCAAGTTTTAAGACACTTCAGCATTGCCTCCACTCGTCAGAACCGGAGGTTGCCTCTTGCCAACAAGCGCAACATAAATCTGCAGAAATGCAGTTTTCGACTGTTTAGCTGCCATCCTCTACTGCAGGTAACGCTAGCGATGCCATACGGAGTTTGCTAATAAGAAGAGGTTAACAAATGAAAACGAATCATGTAGTTTATTGTTTAGCTGCGAGTGCAAATCTATTGTTTATATACAAGAATAATAAAGCAATGTCGATTCTTTTATTAATTAATTGTCTTTTTTAAGAGTACTAGTATCGATAAAATCCTAACGATACCCGTCCCTATTCAAATGGTATCTTGTTAAATGTAGTTTTGTGCGAGAAACATGAATAAATACAGTTGTTTGAAGGAGATGTTTTCACTGCAATATAAAATAGACATAAGAGAGAGAATCATGACCTGTTTGACTTTTTACTGTTTTTATTGAACGCACCGATATCAGCCAATACACAAGTCCAGGTATCTGTTGTGAAAAGAAAGAAAACAGTATCGTAACATCCCTGAGCTGTTCTCGTGACTCCCCCGGTGTGCGCCTCACCTCTTTGTTCGTCGAGCCCCGCGCTGTGATCCATGAAACACAAAAACACCCCGTGACTGATCTGTTGTGGCCCCAGTCGGAAACTGCATGTCAGCAAATGTAGATGGACACACACACACTACACAAAAGCAGCGTTGAGGGTGAGGACACAGCATTCCTTCTCATCCGCCGAGTGTTGTTAAAGTCTGCACGCATCCATCTGCCTGTGAAGACGTCCAGCTGTGCTCCTGTAGTTTCTTTCAGAGTGGATGTGAGATGATGCTGCTTAATTGGTCGCTATGGTCTGATTTAACTGTCGTCTTGATATTTGTCTGTTTATTTATCGGATTTCCTTTATTTTGTTGATGACTTTCATTATCAGTAAAAGAAGAGACCACAGTTGAACGAATGGAATAATGAGCAGCAGGGCTGAGAAGAGTGAAACATCTGAATATGTTAATGAAGGAATCTGATAGGGATGCTGCAATAGGGATGGAGATTTCAAACTGGTTTTGGGACTTCCAGTACTTGTGTGTTTTGGGTTGTAATGAACAACGCAACCTGATGTATTGGTATTCATTTAGCCTGTAGACTTATATAGTTTTTAAAGGATAAGTTTACATTTATCACGCCCATCACACTCACATGTACACTGATGAAGCTGAATCAGTTGCTGTGATTATTCCTCCGTTAGACAGACGGTGTTTGCTTACTGAGATGGTTAAACAAACAGAATTTTGTACTTCAAAGTATAACTTTCAGCTAAACTTCAGAGGTCATTTTTACACAACTAGAGGTACGGACTTTGTCATCCATCGGAATAACAAGCGACTGACTACTTGTCCACATTTACTGTCAACTTTCTCAGTAAACGAATTGTTCAGCCGCAAAGCATGCTGTCAGTGCATATTTTTGGTCACAGCTCTTTAATTATCAATCAGTTGTCCCGTTGAATGCATACAAATGCCATTGAATTACGTGTACATGTAGGTTTTGGAGACATTTGTGAATCAGCAGTTAACGTGATGCTGATGCATAGTTCCAGCCCTCTTTGATTTATGATCAAAATGTGCGTTTTATCAACATGGCAACTCTGTTCTTCAACCCCAAAACCTGCCAGTGGGATGGATAAGCATGTTTTCTTCAAACAATCGCCAAAACGACACCGTTTACCACAGCCAGAAGCTGTAAAAACTGTCATAATCTTCAGACGGTCCTCGAACAGAAAGCTGACCTCAAAAAACGCAACCGAAACTAAGCTTAAAATTGTGGTATTTCATCAAATGATTTAAGTCTACATGTCTCATTTAAAATTCCGACTAAATAAACCATTTACTCAAACCAGATGCTGTAAAGAACATTCAATTCTGCGATCCTCAGCACTACTAGGAAGCCATGATTGATTTGACTGAGACCAAGGATCGTCTCACAAAAATTCAGTATAAATTGGCCTGAACTGCAGGAGAGGAGGGGCTGTAAGTAGAGGTTGTAGAAATGCGAATAGCTTAACGTATGTATAGCCCGTGGAGCTTCCATTCTGAGAGTGAATTAAACCGGATTTTGAGGGTGTAGATTACATGTAGTCTGTCACAAAGAGGTACAGGATAAAGTCTACTCGCTCAGTTTCCTTAACTGTTGTTTTTTTTTTGTGTCACGGCGGCGATTACGCCCTCGCATTTCCAGGTTTAATGATGCTAAATAATGTGCTGTGCTTTGCTGCCCGCTTCTGAAATGTATACACATATTCATGTCATCGCTGTTGATCCAGCAGCGTGACTTAACTTTTTTCCGTTTTTGCCGCCATGGAGCAGTGGGAGAGATCGTCCCGGGCGACTCCCTGGAGGTGCCAAACGAAGCCGCCATGTCGGTGACCGTTCACGAGAATCGCAAATCCCGCACCAGCACGGGCTCCATGAACATCTCGCTGTTCCACAAGCCGTCGCACCCCGACAGCGTCCTGACCCACCTGAACACGCTGAGGAAGCAGTGCCTGTTCACCGACGTCACCCTGTGGGCCGGGGATCGCTCTTTCCCATGCCACAGGTAAACGCACGGCGACGAGATTTGTGCGCCTTTCAATTCAATTTCAACCATCCCGACCTGTGACCTTGACGATTCTGTTGGTCGCTGACCAAATGCCGTGTTTGTGTCTTGCAGGGCCGTCTTGGCGGCGTGCAGCCGTTATTTCGAGGCCATGTTCAGCGGAGGGCTCCGAGAAAGTCTGGACAGCGACGTCAACTTCAGAGACAGTATACACCCCGAGGTACTGCTGCTTTTACTGAGGACGGTTATACCGTACTGGGTGCTTCAGACAAAAAAAACACAATCTTTTATTTTTTAATCATTACAATTGTGTGTTTTATGCAAATAACTACTATAGATGTGTATAACAAAGTAAAAGGATACAATTTTGAAATTTTGATAGTTGACACTGACTTCGGGATGGTTGAATTTATTTTCCTAGACTGGTTGGGAAAAAAAAAAAAAAAAAAAAAAGTCTGGATCCTTGCTGTTAATTACAGTTCTTAGAAAGAAAATCGTAATCGGCAGGTCAGACTTTTATATAATTCATATCTGTCCAAGAAAATTGCAAAAGTGTGTGTACATGCATACTAAAGAGATTGAAAATAAGTCATGTCCTTTCAATCAAACGGTATTATTAATACACTATGTATGCCAAAAAGGGTGTAATCATGATTTATTGGGAGAAACCAAGCAATTCAATGTACAAAATCAGACCCTTCAGCACCCCCATATAGCCCAAATGGAATGATCCTTTGTTTTACAACCACATTTTCTTCTGACGGTTTGACTTCTTCAGGTCCTGGAGCTTCTGCTGGACTTCGCCTATTCGTCTCGAGTCATCATAAATGAGGAGAATGCCGAGTCGTTGCTGGAGGCGGGCGACATGCTGCAGTTTCACGACATCCGAGACGCGGCGGCTGAGTTTTTAGAAAAGAACCTGCACTCCTCTAACTGCCTGGGGATGATGCTGTTATCAGACGCCCATCAGTGCAAAAGACTGTATGAGCTGTCGTGGAGGATGTGTCTGCTACACTACGAGACGGTAACGAAGCTTTACATTGTCTCCTGGCTTCTGGCACTAACTCAGTGTTGTCAATGTCGCCCTTACGCTTCTGAAGTCTTTTCTGTTTTTCTGATTATCCTCACTTCTTCAACTCTTTAAACCTTTATTTGTGCGATTGAAGACGACTAAATTAAAGTTGGCAGCTGTTCCTCCCTCGGTCTTCTTCTCCCTCCCATCACTCAATTAGAGTTAACAGCTGGACTAGAAATAGACCATAGATGTTTTTGAAGATCCATGCGTTGCTCATGTCATGATCTACAAGTTTAACGTATGACATGTGTAATCAAAATGTCGGTCTGTCCTTTAGGTGAGAGAATCCGAGGATTTCTACAGTCTGTCTAAAGATAAACTGCTGGAGCTCATCCTTAGCGATGAGCTGGAAATAGAAGATGAACAGGTGAGTGGTCCTCTCCATACCTTTCCTGGCTTTCACCAATAGCAACAGTGTCCAGACCAGCTGAATGCTCCTCTCTGAATATTTGATTGTTATTTGTTGACCCATGGCAGGTCGTGTTCAACTCTGTGATGCGGTGGGTCCGGTACGACCTGGAGGGTCGGCGTCACAATTTACCAGAGCTGCTGAGGGGCATCCGGTTGGCTCTGCTGCCATCCGAGTGTCTGCTGGAGGCCGTGGCCTGTGAGGAGCTGGTCATGGCTGACAAGAGGAGCAGGTATGGGGCCGTGTAAATCGATACAAAAAGCTCTGGAGTCTGTCTCTATTTCAGTGTCTGCGACCTATGATTAGAAAGTACAAAGATACACATTTTAAAATACCAGCAGATATTGCTACACCACCGTCTCACTCCCTCTTGCTCTCCTTGCAGTTCTCATACTCAAAGAACTCAAGTTACATACTGTTACCAGGGGAAACACTGTATAAGCATAGCATGATCTATTCTAGCCTGATAAGAATCATCTGAAGTCCATTAAGGAAACGCATATTTAGTACAAGATTGGAAAAGCATTGATTTACTGACCCACTGATACATGAGGAGCTTGGTACACAGTAGTACTCACTGTGTTTTTCCTTGTTGAAAAGTTCACTGTGATTGAAATCAACTTGTTAAAAAAACACTGAGTTATTCCACAAATTCCGATTTTAGCATGTGATTGACTCCTCTCTTTTTTCCTCTCCTCTTTCCCTCTGTCTTATCCTCTTTTGTTTCCTCTCCTGCTTCCTCTCCTCTTTCCCTCTGTCCTCTCCTTTTTCCTGCTGCTCCTCCCTCATTTCCTCTACTCTTTTCTCCTCTCCTCTTTCTCCTCTTCTCTCCCCTCTCTCCTCTCCTTTTCCCACTCTCTATACCCTTCCTGTCGTCTCCTCTTTCCCCTCTCTCCTCTTCTCTTTCCCCTCTTTCCTCTCCTATCTCCTCTTCTCTTTCCCCTCTTTCCTCTCCTATTTCATCTTTCTCCTTTCCTCTCTCCTCTCCTATTTCATCCCTCTCCTCTCCTTTAAAGCCTTTAAATATTGAGTTCTGTTCAAAGTTGAACTTGTCTTTAAAGGACTCTTGTGGGAATTGAGACATGTCAGCAGTTCATGGAGAATTAGGCCAAGCGTTAAGTAAAGACACGACGAGACAAACGTGTCTTCATCTCTCAGACGGTGTTTTTACTCTCCTCTGCAGGTCAATAGTAGAAGAGGCAATGCAGTGTAAGAAGAAGATCCTTCAGAACGACGGGGTAGTGACTAGTCCCTGTGCTCGACCGCGTAAGGCAGGCCACACGCTGCTTATCCTGGGAGGCCAGACCTTCATGTGTGACAAGATATACCAGGTGAAAGACATAAACAGTCCTTTTTATACAGGACGACCTGTTCTCATGTATAAAAAGATACCGCATGTGTTGTATGAAGTATCATGTTTACTTGGCTTAAAGTATATCCAACACATGCAGTGTTTAGTATTTAATCCTAGCTACCATCCCCCGTTAAATGTAAATAGATGGGAGGCATTAGCTCAGTTAGTAAAGCAGTGTTAGAAGATCATTGACTTCCAGATTACATACAGCAGCTCAACTACAATGTAAGTAAGTAAAATGTATTTAGTCACAAAGTGCTTAACAGGAGTGGAATTACAAGCATAAATAAAGCACAGAGTGACCATATAGCATTTTGCAGCCTTGGTGCTACTGCTTCAACAGCTCACAGGTCTTAAGGCGAGTGCGGGGGACATACAGATAACATAACACGTTTGACCTGAGAGCGCGAGCGGGTGAATATGGGTGAAGTAGTTCAGCCACATAAAGTGGATCCTAAATGCTACAGGGAGCCAGTGAAGAGATCGGAGTATGGGGGTGATGCAAACAGTTGAGAGCAGATACACTGAGTGAGGAGAAAAGTGAACTGCAATAATCAATGCGTGAAGAGATAACGGCATGTATGATCATCTCTTTTTCAGCTGTTGATACTACAGATCTCAGTTTGCTGATATTTCTTAGGTGGAAGAAACAGGATCTAGACAGCTGCTTAACATGGGGGTCAAACGACACTGATTGGTCAAATATTACCCCTAGATTACGCAGGTTGAAGTGGGCAGCAGAGGAGAGTGGACCAATACTCTGCTTGATCGTAGGGACAATCTGGTGCAATAACCAGAACCTCCGTCTTAGTGCCATTGTAAGCAGTTGTCTGCCGTCCAGTCTCTAATGGCATTTACACAGTCCAGGAGCCTAGGTACTGTGAAAACCTCACTGGGTTTGAATGAAAAATGAAGTCTGAATTCACATTACAGGAGTTTACTAGAAACAAGTCTTGCATAATACTTGCTTGAATAACACATGGTGGTTAAACAAGGAGTGTAAGATGCACACCATGTAATCGCAACATCAGCCAGCCATAAAAGGAGGGGTTGGCGGTTTGATTCCAGTGTCTTCCTGTTCACATGTCAGTGCCTTAAGCAATACACTGAAACCCACATTGCTCCTGGTGTATGTTTGTGATAAACATTTTCGATTCAATTTCATTTGTGGAGCTAAATATTGCAAATTTGCCTCGGGGGGCTTTACAATCTGTACAACAGAAGACATCGTCCCGCAACAAATAAGGAAAAACTCCCCACCAAAAAAAAAGCTCTAATGGAGGAAGCTCACTCAAGATGAACAGAAGTGTACTAGATGTCATGTATACAGAATAAACAACATAATAAAATAACAACATAGTCAATTCATATGACAGAAATGAGAGCAGTAGTAGCAGAAATAATGTGAACAAATGAATATCATTTTAAAAATGTATTGCCACTCCCAGATGATGTCCATTTATATACATTTCCCATACATATCATTAAAAACCAATGCAATAAACCAATACAGATGTCTTTCAAAGTCCACCTTTCTGTTTTCTGCTAGCTCTCAATGTTTCCAAGTCCTACACCTGCTGCGAGCCATCCACAACTTTCCTACAATGAAAGAAATGTCGGATGAATGAATAGCATGAACTGTCTTCAAAATGTGTGTGTTTTTTTTATTTAATTAATTAATTCATTTATTATATTTTTGTTTAAGTGTGTCTTTTTATTGACCTCCACTAATATTCCGTTAACAAACTCAATAGCCACCATTGTTGATGGACCTTCTTTAGGTTGACCATAAAGCCAAGGAGATCATACCTAAAGCAGACCTCCCAAGCCCCAGGAAGGAGTTCAGTGCGTGTGCCATTGGCTGCAAGGTTTACGTCACCGGAGGAAGGGGATCAGAGAATGGAGTCTCTAAAGACGTCTGGATCTACGACACTGTCCACGAGGAGTGGTCTAAAGGAGCACCCATGCTAATAGCCAGGTGAGCTACATATGTTGCATCATAGTAAAAGGAATATCATAGTACTCTACCACTATTAAGTGTGGTCTGGCAATATTTAAGTTTACAAATTCACATAGAAGGGTTCAAATTTATGTGGAGTGGCACACGTTGATATAGAGTGGTATAGATTCTTATAGAGTGGCACACATTCATGTAGATATAGACTGGGACAATAGGGTTGGGGCATTGTACAGATACATTAACAGTAATAACGGTACATTTCCGATTTCTTTTTAAATTTTGCTAACTAAATGGTCTTTTCGGAAGAACAACTTAATGCAAAGTAACACAAAGTTGTGTAAAAAGAAACTCAATTATCCACTTGGCCATGAAGTGAGTCTGACTGTTGTATACAGACAATGTCATAACATAACACAAGTGTTAGAACGGACGGATGATCAGGACATCGGCATTTAATAATGTCACATTATAAACAATCAATCAATGAACAGGAGAGCAGGTAACCGTGGTAAGACCGCTAACGAACGAAGGTTCTGTTTGGTTACATTATGATGCGTTCAGGCTCTTTTCAGTGAAACTGGGTATTGGGCGAAGGTCAATAATAACGTTATGTGTTCACATGTAATCTCGTAAAATGTAGTCTTGGTGAGAAACTTGCAATAAATCCAGTTGTTTGAAGGAGACGTTTTCACATTAATACAAATAGATATTAGAGATGAATTTTGACCTGTTTACACTAAACTCTAAACAGTTTATAATACATCAGTAAGACTACTAATGACAAGATTTGATTTAAACCATGAAAATACTATTTTTCATTTGCTTATCATTAGAATTGTGTATTTTTGAAGGAAAAAAAAAACTATAGATTACTATAACAAAGTCAAAAGATAACATTTAGAATTTGTGATTGTTTATGCTGAGCTCAGGGCAGTTAAAATGAACGGTGGCCAAAAATAAAAATAGTCCGGAGCCTTGTAAACCAGCTGCTATAATCAATCAACAAAGGGATCTGTATCTGCCAATATGGATCATAAATGAGCAGCAATTAGTATCGGCGCCAAAAAAATCATCGGGGATCTCAAACAATTCTATTTGCCACCTTTTTTATTTTGTACTGATCCGATCTGTGATCCATTGCACCAATACATAACACAAGTGTCTGCTTGATCGTGCATGTCACAGTGCATGACAGTTGTACACAATAATGATTTTATAGTAGAGCTTAACTTAATGCCACTTGAATGACCTTGCTTTTGCAGTGACTGCAGTTTGTCTTCTTTCAGGGGGTCCTCCCAAAAAATGAAGGCTAGTTAATTTCCACCATTTGATTGACTATAGATGTGATTAACAGTCATCAGAGGGACTATTCGGATCATAAGTTTTACTCTCCTCCGCGGTTATCTCCTCAAATTAGCGGACAACTATGGAATTCTGGTCCTAATCAACTAAAAACTTTTCCGATGGACGTCCCTACAGCAAAATCTTAGGTCCATGACCTAATGTGTATCCATTAAGGGGTCAAAAAGATTGAGAACCACAAAAGTTAATGTGGGTCTTCTCCTCCAGGTTTGGCCATGGTTCAGCTGAGCTGGAGAATAGTCTCTATGTGGTTGGAGGTCACACAGCCATAGTGGGAGTTTTTCCTGCCTCTCCATCTGTCTCCCTAAAACAGGTATTGACTTATTTTTAGGAGAACAGTTTCATTTTTTTGTCTATATTCATAAATGTGTGTGTCCCATACACATACAGCCAGTAATGTTATTGTTATCATGTGAAATATCTGCGCTGGTCTGACTTTGACTCAACTTGCACACATTCTTCACCTCTAAGTCGTATATGTCTGTTGGAAATCAATTATGAAGTTAAAGTGTGACTGTATAACATCCTCCTAGGTGGAGCGGTATGACCCCCTCAGTAATAAGTGGACTATGATGGCTCCTCTAAGAGATGGAGTCAGTAACGCAGCCGTGGTCAGTGCCAAACTCAAACTCTTTGTTTTCGGAGGGACAACCATACACAGAGACAAGGCCTCCAAGGTTGGTGGATTTGTACGTCAACCTTCCTTATAATTCCTCACAATTCACTTTCTAACCAACTAAATAAAACTTCTGTGGCTGAGACTACACTCTAAAATGACGGTGTCTCTATATCTAGGTCCAATGCTACGACCCCGTGGGTAACCGCTGGAACATTGCGGCCGAATGCCCCCAGCCGTGGCGCTACACGGCGGCTGCCGTCTTGGGCAGCCAGATCTTCATCATGGGCGGGGACACCGAATTCACCGCCGTCTCCGCCTACCGCTTCGACTGTGAAACCAACCAGTGGACCCGGGTCGGGGACATGACGTCCAAGCGGATGAGCTGCCATGCCGTGGCCTCGGGAAACAAGCTGTACGTGGTCGGGGGCTATTTCGGGACGCAGCGGTGTAAGACGTTGGACTGTTACGACCCCACGTCAGACAGTTGGAACTCCATCACCACTGTGCCTTATTCACTGATCCCCACCGCCTTTGTCAGCACATGGAAACACCTACCTGCCTAACTGGAAGAACACCAGCAGCCAATAATTTCAGGTACATTGTCGAGACCGACACTAACGGCAAAATAAATGTAGTCTATTTTTGTTTCTTTATTCCGTGCGTAACTGCAATGATTGTGAGTTGGGTGAGCGCTGCCAAAACGAAGGTCACCTACACTCCGCACTGTGCTTGAATGCATCCTTTGTAGACACGCGTAGCTCTGAATCTGCTGAGTAGACAGTTTGCTTCAAATCTTACATCCCACAGCGGATTTGCTTTCCCCTGCATCTTTGCATTGAGCGGATATGGACTTTTCTCTCGAACTCAACTTCAGACTTGTTCATTTAGCTAAATTGAAACCAAAACACACATGTGGGTGAGGGAGCAGTCTTTCAAAATGAAATGCAGACTTAAATAATTACATAATTAAGACTACCCGTTTTTTTTTTTACCTATTCCCACTAAAATAGCTGGACCTCTCTTCAAATGATCATCACTTTAAAACCAACGAGAAGAAGCCGTTCTTAAAATATATTATCGGTTCAAAACATTCTCTTATGCTTAATGGAGCTCTGACTTCATATCCTGGCCCGTCACAGTCAGCACTTTGCAGAGAATAACGATGAATGATTGATGGGCCCTGAGTCTCTCCAAAAGGATTTACAGCACTTGAACTGATTGGTGTCACGTGGAGTCGCTGCAATTCAGAAAATTCAGTACGGAAGCACAAAAATCCACAGTGTTGATAAAAGCTCTAGGACTGACTGAGTTCTTATCATTGAATTTTTAAGTTCAACTCTTGCTCTAAATGACATGCATTACAATTGAATGCAGAATATAATACTAGGTAAATATGAAGTGAAGTAGGTTGAAGAGAGTCAGACTGAGTGTATTTATGTCTCCCGTTGCTACAGGACTGGGTTAGGTTATATGTTCAACAGAGCTTCCACAGGTCAGTGGCTCTAAATTGCTCGTGAACGTGAATGGTTGGTGGTATGTGCGTCAGCCCTGTGATTGAGTGGCGACCTCCAGCCCAATGTCAGCTGGGATTGTCTTCAGCCCCTCAAGTGGAGGTATTCGTGACATCACCCATTGGTTTGTGGACTGCCATTATGAAGCCTCGAGTTTGGCGATTTCGCCATCTTGGATTACGGCCGTCGCCATGTTGTGTTTTTGCTTTTTTGCTCAACTGATGAACGGAACTGACTATATTTGGAATGCGGAGGAGTGACGTAGAGACTCTGTATAGTCTCTGGTAGTAGCAGCGACCTGTCAATCACAGTAAGCCCGCCCTAAAGCATACCCTGCTTTATGGTCTGTTTGACTCTAAATGGACCATAATTTACTAAATGAACATCATGATGTATTGAAGAAGACTTGAAACTAGAGATTGAGACCATAAACTCATGTTTACAATGTTTACTGAGGGAATAAATCAAAATAGAAGTAGTCATTTTCTCATAGACTTCTATACAATCTGACCAATAATTACGCTTTTACTGGTTAAAACGCCACATAACGTAAATTTAGTTTGTAACTCAAGAATTCCAACTCCATCTTGTGGTTTGTGTGATGTGATTTTACATGATGTAGTTTAACTTTTATCCGTTACTATCATGTTAGTAACTTAATCGATTCATAGTTTTGAACCAGGACCTTCGATTATTTAGATTAAGGTGTATCTGTACTATACAAAAAATGTGCCTAAATAGCGACCTTTTCATAAACTACTGCTCGTTCTATGGTGTTGGTTTCTCACATCAGGTGCCTGCAGTGCAAATGAGGCGCATAAATGGATCACCTTCAGTGCGCTTGGGCCTCGACACATTCAGTGTTTTTTGTGTTTTGTGACAATACAATAATAACGTCATTATTTAGTTTAAATTAAAACTCTCACTCGATCTCAAAGAAGGAAATAGCGAGAGTAACGGGCAAAGCAGCTTTAATATTGACGTAGTTTCTTTTAGTGCTGTGCGGTGGATCTGATTTTTGCCGCTGTAGAGTGTGGTTCATGCTAGCTCTATTCTAACACTATAATCACATTAGCACATGTTGTTGTCTGTGTGCATAGTGACCGGTCTATGCTGAGGTCAAACTGAGAAGAAGCCGTCTTCCTGAGGTTCTGTTCTCCTCGTCCTCTCTAGTCCTGTGCAGTGGGACTGCAGCACATAAATATCCTCCATCCATAATCCACCCACTGATGTGTACTCTCCTACATCCCCCCTTCTTCTCTTCACCCGCCCCACCACCTCTTCAAAAATTCATGTTGTGAAACCGGAGTCCCGGAGCAGCCTGTTCCTCCCAGCACCATCTTGTCCTGTGTCCCGGTCTCGTTCATTCGTTAACTCCCCTCTGTGTACACTACATCTTTAAATATGTATGTCACGTATTCTCCTATCTCCAGCTTTTCCGCCATTTCCCCCTGACCTTGTCTCGGTTCTAGCTGTGACACAAAGATTTGTGATGGATCATTCTGGAGTTTAGTACCACTTCCGGCACTCAGGTGCAGCAGTAACAGCCCCCTCCCATGGGTCTCCACTGAGCCTGGCTAATTGAGAATTGACTGCAGGCGATGTTTGCCTCACTTTGTTTTTATGGTTATGATTTATTCATCATCAAAACAGGACATCGAGGCAAAGACTTTAACAGCCCATTAACATCCATTTTGCTTAGGATTAATTTATCTCAACACCAGGAATGTGAGCAATCACGCAGATTCCCTTAGCAGGGGCCCAGGGGCCTCATGGAACCTGATGTCCTAATGGCGTGGTACGTTGTAGGAGAGTAAACAATAACTGATCTCTGATAACTCTCGACAAGAACTCGTTCTCATTGTTTCTCTTTCTCGGCTCACGTATCGACACATTCGGCACAATCGCGGAGATCTAGATTACAGGATTGGTAGTGGCTTCCTCTCTTTGTTGCCTTTACACATCCCGGCGTGACTGCCGGGGTTAATGTTTCAAGTTTATCAGCCAGAACAGGATCAATCGTTGTGGACTTGGACCTTTTTTGCAGAACAGGTAAAACAACTTTCTCGGGTCCTGAAGGGACCGACGGCCGTGCTCTATATGCACCATGGGCACCTTTTAGGGTTTGTACTTATACAAACACTAAACACACACCGGGCCTTCAATCAACACCAATGTAAACCCATCTGTGCCGTTATTATTGCAGTCAACTGACGTAGTATTAGGTGCAATAATATCGGTGGTCGGTCCTGCGATTGTTTGACCCGCCCAACCTCCCCTCCCGTCACCCAGGAGACAAACCAAGTCGACGACTTGTTTCACCTTGATTTTGTGATGTAACTTTCGTAGCCTACCTAACACCAGTTATGGAACAAGCATAATTATTTTATGCAACAAACATGCTTGTTTTAACCCAAACCAATGTTTTCCTAAGCACAAGCAAGTAGATTCGATGCCCAATTAAACCATAGAACTAAGAACCTTCGTTGGAAGTATATTTATGCATGTTACGAGCGGAAACTTTGTTTCCTGTCAACAGGGAAGTTTATTTTGAAAAGACACTATCCGCGCTTAAAACTGACTCTAGAGGGGAACCTAGAGCGTCATAGTTTGAAGTGTTGTCTTTGATGAGTTGGGAGTGAGAATGTGTTGGTCATGTAGTGTACCGTCTACCTTATCAATTGAAAGCCTGTGCCAACTTTCCAACAACACAGTAACACTGTTTCCGCTACTGAATCTCAATAGGACAGCTGCCGATTGTGCAGCTGTGGACATTTGAAATGAAATGAATGATTCAAAAGGTTTCCAAGTAGAGTTCAGAACAAGAAATGTCTATTTAAGGCTGCTCGGCTATGAATGGTAATGTCAGTTGGTCAGTGGGTGGGTTAATTAGTTGGTGTCTATGGATTGTCCTGACTGTTGGTGCACACAGTCATGGTCCCCTCTAGGATGAATTGTGGTCACTATGACCAGTTTTGCTGGTATTTGGTCCAAATCAATGACGTTCCCATCTACCTCAGCTGTACCGTGATGAGCTAATTAGCAATGCTAAGCTAAGACAGTGAACGTGGAAAACATAAGTGTGTTAGCATGCTCATGTTAGCATTTAGCTCAAAACACCACTGGTTTAAACCCCACAGAGCTGCTAGCATGGCTGCAGGTGGCAGAATGTGAATTTTGACAAACATGAATTATTCTGTCACTGTCGAGGGCGAAAAACTTTGGGTCACCACACTTTTCTTCAGAAGAATTTGGTATTTTTAATTTCATAGCATAAGAGATGCTTTTCAGTTTTACAGCCTATCGTGGCCTTTTGGGAAGGCCACGATAGGCTCAAGTTAGTTTCTTCCCCTTCATTTTTAGTGGCATACTTTTTCAAGGTGAATTCATTTATTTCCACCCTTTTAAATGCATAAATTGGGAGTCGGAGACCAAAAGCTCCGGTGTGTCATGTGTCCTGAGGGCAGTACCAACGAAAACACAACAGGAAACATAACATGCACTGATAACGGTCCACTAGAATGACTCAAGATTTTTTTAAATGTTCCATGGTAAGAAAAAAATAATAGAAAAAACGATTTTGCACTACATTTTGGTCTGTGACTGTGATTTAAGATTAAGAAGCCCTTCTTCTTCAGGCAAGAGCTGTTCAACCCGGCTTATGATCACTTGTGAATATGATTGCTTTAAAGTATCCCTGCTGCCTGTCATCTCCACTGCATTATATACACACACACACACACACACACACACACACACACACACACACACACACACACACACACACACATAATCCTTACTTCTCTATTTTCCAGCTCAGCAGCTCATATTTTCACTGCTCCTGCTCTCAAAGCTGCTTTTTTTTTTTTTTTTTTTTTGCGTCTGCGAGCTGAGTCCAGTGAGAAGCACCGAGACACGCACACGCACACATACACGTACGTACGTACACACACACACAAGAGAGAGTTTAAATCTATGTGAAAAAGTGTGTGTGAGTGAGTGAGTGAGTGAGTGAGAGAGAGAGAAAATCCCATAGATACTTATAGCTGAAGTGTCGGCCTTCTGGAAGAAAGAGGAGAGAAAGAGGACATCTTAGGAAGGAAGCAGTTCATGGTTTGTCGGGGAAAAAACTGTATGAAATAAAGAGTCTGCATTTTGTGTGGTCCCAGTGCGGTGTTTGCAGAGGAACCACCCGCAGATATATATAAATATAAAACCTGCACACCATATTTTAAGGTTTTAAGGACACACATGTCCTCCAATACAATATATTTCTTTCATGAACAACAATTCTTTTTTAAAGCATTCCAATCTGGCTTTCGTTTCTTTCACAGCTCTAAAGCCGCACTCATTAAAGTGACCAATGAACGCTGCGATTGGCAAGCACTACGCCCAGCGCTACGTCACATGTCGTTAACCAGCTAATAGCACTCCATGGAAAACCAAAATGAACTGAGAGGTTCATAATTGCAATTTTTGGTCTTGCGACAGCTAATGTCACATAGTTTTTTTTTTTTTAAATTGACAGCCGGCATGTTTTCAGCCTGCTGTAAAACATTAAAAAACATTTTGGCAAACCAACTCTGAACAGACGTGAAAATTAAACCTTTAAGCTGCTCTCTCTCAAACCCAATCAATTTGAGATCTTTTCCAGACAATGAAGGAAAAACAAAAGCTCATGGATTGATGTGATTGTTCATCAGAAACGCTGAACCAGTCGCTGCAGATGAAAGAGACTCATTAGCGAGATGTTCTTTGATTGAGAACGGCACTGATCTTTCTCTTTCAGGTTGATTGCCCTCTGAGAAAGGAGGACTGGAGGAGGAGGATCCTCCGAGACTCCAACCCCTGCGGTCGGCAGCCGGCCGAGGCTGGAGTTCCACACGGGACCAATCCTTACAAAAAACACAAATCTGCACCTCACAGACTCTGGATCAGTGCTGGGCGGCGTGGTGAACAAGCCAACAGGCACAGCACAGGTCTTAACACACACACAAAGAGAGAATCACTCTCCGTCTGATGCTTCCTAGATAATGTGATACTCCACAAACAGACACTTGTCTGGTGGACGAATGCTTTTGACGACCGCTCATACAAACCTTTGTTTACTTGTTACGGGGGGAGGTTTGTGTGTGTGTTTCTATAATGTCTTATTAGTCATGAAATTCACTACTAAAACCATTCCAGTGTAAAGACAAAAACTCTTAATTGATGACAGCATTAACATACTCCAGCGGTTTCCCTGAAAAATACAAAGAAACCCAAATGAAATGGTTCCTGTTAACCTGCACCCAGTAAACCTTATTTCAGGTTGCGCTGCACACACTGACTGTGTTTACTAGTATTGCTACCACATGTGCACCAATATGGTGTTAATGAACAGGCTGGGTTTGAGAGTTTTAGATCCCATCATCAAAGAGGATTTAAATGGTCTCTTCATCATTTGGAAAAGTCTGGCTGATTCTTTTTGAAATGTATTTTTACAATTACCGGTGGATCATCATATCAGGTAACTATCAGTGCACATCGAGACAATATTTGATTATTTTTTTAAATTTGGGAGGTGTAAATTAAATATTCCCGGTGAATGACTGAATGTTATTTGTAGGTTTTTATTGGAAGCGCTGCAGTTACATCAGAAATATAAAAAAAAAAGTACAGTTAACACAATTAGTAAAGTGAACATGTTAACGCTGCAAACACAAATGTGTGTTAATTAGGTCGTTATTGACCCAAAAAATGTATCCATTACTAAATACTCTGCTCACTTTATGCGGTGCAATTGACTGTCCAAAAGTCAAAGCAGTCTTTGATGTGTTGACTTCCATTAATTTTCTCAAAGCTGAGTACAGGGAATTCTGTATAGCAGACTGTTTAGTGTGAGAGAAATGGAGTCCTCCATGAAGGGTATAATCATTCTCACTATCCATTCAGACCGCACTGCAAAACAGCCAACACACTACATAGCGGGAAAATGGAAACTCAACACTAGAAAAGTGCACCAAAAAAAACTACATGTCTTCAATACTGATGAAAGTGGTGAATTATAAGTTGAAGGATGCAGTAAATGGAAGATGTCGGGTTTTGTCCTGCCACACATGTAAACACTAAAAATATTGAAGGGTGACTGAAGAACGAATGCTTGTTCTTTATTAAGAATTGAACCGTTACCATAAGATGACTTGTTGGTTTGCATTGGACCCGTGGTCACAGTGTCACAATGACTTCGTCCACTTCTTATATACAGTCTATGACGCTAATCACGCCATCTGACTTTAACACGCCGCATATACCTTCTGCAGGCTGCAATACATCCATTACTCATTGGTTAAATGCTTTTGCAACCGCATTAAAGGACAATTGCTTTACGGCAGCTTTTACGAATTCCACAAGGCTCGTCTCACCTGGGTTTAGATCTCGGCCCCTCTATCGCTCCGACAGGTCTGACAAGTTGGTAACCACCTCGACGCATAAACATAATCATTTCATCTGTAAGTGTCTCTACTGTCCCAAACATTTTATCTTTGGGTCCCAGGTGCTATTTTTTATTGTGGACTTTTGAGCACTGCCTTTCAATTGTCATGTCAAAGGATTATTTTTAGCACACTTTTCTACAAGAGAAGAAAAAGTGGCTGTAACAGTCTTGTGAGGCAGTTAAGTTGGACTTTTGGAACTTGAAACAGAAATCATTTCAGTAAAATTACTAATTTCAGGCAACCAATCAACAGTATACAAAGGACAGCCAAAATAATTCCAATTCTATAAAATAAAGATGTATCATCTCTCTATGCCTCTCACACATTTCATTTAAAGTGACAAAATCAATGGAGAGCGATGAATTGTTTTTCCCTCCGAGTGTGGGTGGGACTTAATTGTGCTCCGTCTCGATACAGAAACTATTGGATGGTGATTTTGTTAAGTTCTTGGCAAAGACCTACTCAAACCCGTAGTGTCAACATAAAAGGACCAAATATCTCTCTAGGTCTCATGTGAGATGCAGTAACAGATCTCTGCTGAAGCCTGGACGTGTGCCCAAAAAAACCCTTTTAAATGACAGGAATTTTCTTTTCTTTTTGTTTTATTTACTTTGCTAAGCTCTAAAACATTTTCCTATCATTTCTGTACATGCATTTGCTTCCAAAGAAATACCTTAAAGGCACAGGAAACATGTGGGAGCATGATCTGTGGATTAAACTAAAAGGCACAAAGGACAGTTGGGATGTCAAAAGTTGCACATGCACTCCTTTGTATTTCCAGGAGCATGTTTTAGTGTTGAAGGAACACGTGGAAGTGAAAGGCAACAGGGCTGCTGGTGTCGTGTTGGTCATGGGGAAAGTCTTTTGTTTCGATACGTCATTCTATTTGTTTTTTTTACAGGACGAAGAGCACAGTGTGTCCTGCAGAAACATCACTGCCAAAGAGCCGTTCAGAAGCTGAACCCTGAACTGATTTATATATATTCTTTTAATTTTTCTGTAACACCTATGCACTTTTGATATTTATCAATGCATTCGTTAGCAGTGGTGTCTTTATTCCACAGGTGTGGAATGTTTTCTACACGCTGGAGATAACGCCAGCTGTCACAATATGGAGAAAAAAAGACAGCACAAAAATGGATGAACGAGATTTCTGCAGGACACAGAGATGCACTCTAAAGTCTAAAACGTGGCTGATCCGTTGTATCGTCTCTGTGATGCGGTATGTGCCGGTGTTGTGAGTCCGCTGTCTAACAGTGAAAAGAGCTGCCGTGAGGAGGCTGCACAGAGAGCTCAGAAACACTCCACCTGTTCTTCAGAAATCTGAAGTGAAAGTGTTTTTGAAACAATATGGAAAAACTGAAAGGTCTTGGAGAAGGGTAAAAAAAAAGTAGATGCTGTATGTTTTTACTGGTGAAAATAAACAACTCACTTTTTCAACTCTGCGTGGTTCTTGGATGAGAAGGATGATGAACGCATGTCTCACTTTAGGTCAGAGAACATTCATTTATTAGTGCAAGTAAAACTGCTACTTTTGTTTGTTCGTTAAACCTCTACCTGATATGTTTAAGTTTTATTTGGCCAGTAGAAACAAGTTTTGAAAATTGACATAATTACATATCCAGGGGTTACGAAGCACCATGATCATTCATTTGGATTTTTTCTCTTTGTCTCCCCCGCGTATGTTTAACTGGAGTTGCAACACATCAGAATACACACATTTGATTGGCTGAGTAGCATCACGTGATGTGATTTACAATGCATATAATTGGTCTGTGTTTCCTGGAGCGTTAAAGTCAATCTCCCCTCCATCAAAAGAACCACACAACATGAGTCGCATGACAAACACCATACTCATTTATTTAAAGAGAATTACTGTACATTTAAAAAACAGGAAGAAGAGAGATAAATAAAGCTTTATTTATAATAAAAAAAATCATCAAACTAAACAAAATCCAGTTATCAGTACTTTGGAAGTTCAAATTTGTACATAAAACATATTTACAAAATTTGTTGCTTTGCCCTTTTTTCTTTGTACATAAAACAAGAAAAATAAACATTGTACCTTTTTGTTTTTAGTACAAATACATTTCAAAAAGCTCACAGTGCAAAAACTGTAAGGTTTAATGTGAGTGCGTAAAATTCCTTGTGAATGGTTTTAGTAAAATTCTAGTGCACGCTGAATGGTAATGTGGAGGAGGAGAGAGCGGAGCCTCAGACCACCACTAAACTCATGATCGTACATCGTTTCTGTGATTTTAGCTTATGTTTCAGGCATCCAAAAACTGCAGATTGGGTGTTGAACTGTACAATGGGAAAACAATGGAGAACAGCCCTAAACTCAGGAAAGTGAAACCCACTGAAGGACGTCACTCTGGGGGATTATCTGGACCAGAGAGGGGGCTGGATGATAAGTGTAAATTAGTATTTAAATGAATCTCCCTCTTTACAGCAGGACTCTGGCTGCCACCATGTGAACGTGTTGCTGTGATGTACTCTTACTAAGAAAACATCACTCGAATCCTCTGTTCCCTTTAGATTGAAATGCAGAACAGTGTTGGAATAAAGACAAATGAAAGAAAGGACACCTTGTGGTTTTTGAGAAGGCGAATAGATTTGGACTATGTGCTTGTTAATCTTTCTAAAGTTTCAGACAGCTGAGGCAGCTGAATTTATAGTGCAGCATTACACCAAATACTGTGTATCAGTGGGATTTTCAAAATACTACTTTAATAGTCAGATACATAATTTTAAAAATACTTGCGGCACATCACGATCAAACATTAAACACAACAAAAGTAATAAATTAAAAAGGTTTGCGATCTTAGAAAATTATCTTTAAATTTGGCAGTTTTGTTTTTTTTGGATCCATTTTACAACAGTTCATCTACTCAAGGCTAGCTTTGTAATTCAGTCTGACTGGAATCCCAATTAGCCAATTAATTAATATATATATATATATATATATATTAAAGCAATTTTTACATGTATTGCTGATATTTGTATTACTGAAAAGGGAAGGAAAAACAAAATCCATACAAAATGCTGCTTCTAGCCAACACACCATGTAAAGAGGCTGGTGCTGCTAAATGTAGCTTAAAAGCTAAGGACAAACAGTGTTCTGTTAGCGGTGGTGTTAAAGGATAACGGCTACATGACTTAACATGTAAACTGACCCGTGTTTATGCTCGTGGGTAGGTTTTTTTTTTAAAACTGCACCACAGCTGGCTAGCTAACTAGCTCTCTAGTCTTCAAACTGACGTCAGTGGTAAAGTTTGAAAGCTAGTTTAGCGAGCCAAAGCAGGAGGAGGAGAGGTTAGAGAGCTGAAGTAGTAGTTCAAAGTCTGAGGTTCCTGTCCCAGTGACGGTTCTAGCTTTAAAGCAACACAGTGTTGAATTAAATATCCGTTGTAGACGGAGAACGATTAGTTGCACATAGGGCATCGTATTTACAGAGCAGATCTGTATACTGAAGCACAAAAAAACTTTAAGGCACTAATGCACATAACAGGTCACTCATTTGAATCCAATTAAGGCCGTGTGGTACTGGGGTCATTTTTAAATATATTACTGTTGAAGGAACTGGTTTTTGATGTGAATCGGTGTGAAAAAAAAAACAGTGTTTTGTTCTCGAGTCTCCAAAGGAACCCGAGTGTGTTTTCTTTGCCCTTGAATCGGAAGACTGAAAGGAAGACCAACCACCGCTGGTGACCACACACAACAGTGAGAGGAGCGTAAGAGAGCTGCAAGTGCATTAAGAAATGAAGAGTTTCAGCTAGAAATCGGCTCCTCTCAGCAGCGCGGCGGGAAACGACACCGAGGGCTGAAATATTAATCGCGGGACCCCCACCCCGCCGTTAAAGCGCTTCTCAGCAGAGAACACAAGGAAAGAATCAATGCGGTGGAATTCTAAAGCCGGGAGTTATTATTATTATGGAAAGGTGATGAACACAAGCTTCGGGGGCATCCGCCGTATGCTGGCGCGCTATCAATGCCGGCAGGGACGTGGTGGATAACGAGCGCGGGAAAACATACGCAATATTCAGATTAAGGTGGAAGGGTTTTGAAGAAGGGGTTAGGTATTAACGGATACCGAGCTTTGGATGCATTTGTCCCTTTCAGATGCATTTAAAATGACGGGGACATCTGCAATGCAATGCAGACACTCAAAGGGATTACAAGTAGATTTAAAATATCTGTAAAATTCTTTTGAGAGAAACTATTTTTAAATGGTTATCCTCGTTTCACTCTTGATCCAAAGGACATATTAATTGTCTTTACAATAAAATAAAAAAATATGTTTTGAGTAAAAAAAAAAAAAAAAAAAAAAGGCCCCGCTGTTTATCCCGAGTTCAATTCACACTTCAGTTTCAGTTCAATTCAATTAATTCAGGGTTGTTTGTCCAAATAATAAAATTCTGGCTCTGGATTAAACCTGGTTTGTACTGTAAATTCTCAAATAATGGCTGGATGTGAAATAACGGCAAAAAAAACAATTGAAAAAGTCCAGTAAATATACTAGACGTTAAAGGTAACGTGGACGTAATGTGTATTTCCATCGGTCGACAGAGTCACCCTCCGTAATCTGAGCGCAGCAATACTCTTCTCGGCAGAATTCGCTTCCATTGATTTAAATTTGTTTCTAAATAAAAGACCTAACAGACAGAAGAAGTCTTGAACGGCAACAAACTAACATGACAAATGGAAGTGGAATCAGAAAACAAGTAGTGTCCTACTAAAACACTCAGATCCGATGTGCTTAAAAGGACCAGGGGAGGTTAGAAATAAAAGGCCCGTCTCTCATTCTCTGTTACACTGAGCTAAATAAAGTCTCCAGCCACTATTTGACAATGTACAGTATTGATGATTGCTCTATAATGATTGGTACTGATTTAGGTGACAGTTAGCCCTTTAGGATTCATTTTTCTTACATGACTTATTTACAAATTTGAATGTAAACTCAATGATTGTCTTTCTTTGAAGACTTTCTACAAAGTTTGGCTGGGCGATATTATTTTTCTTTCGCATATCAACAATTATGACATAGGGGCAAATGTATACAACATTACTTGTAAAATAATCAAAATTGATCTACATCAACATGGATGTTAGAGGTGCTCAGAATCGTGGCAAATTCAATCTGCTGATGAAGACCGCTTGATGTGGTCGAAAGCTCCGGGAGAGCTGCTAAATGGATCTTGAGGGAGGATTGTTTCCAAAGTCGAGAGTGAACTAGCGAGCTCAGTCATAGTGACATTCGACGAGTGAAGCCCTTTAAATGTGTAAAACATAAACAGCAAATTCGTTTTGTTCCGTTTCTTAACTCGCAGAGAGTCGTTCATTTTGACCGAAGAAGTTCACAAAGGCATTAACATGATATGATCACGTCATCTCAATATAAATCCAGGACAAGTCGAAATATTCTGTACTGCTGCTCTCATGGGGCGATGCTTTCTTTTATAATTCGGTCATTTCCAAATGGTTGCCTAGTAATTTACCACAAAGAACGGTGTCAAACTATAGGGACGTGCAAAACTGTACTTTCACAATACAATTGAACATATACTGAAAATAAAGTTTGCAGTAATGAAAGGCAGATTTACTTGGATTTAAATGGAGCTAAGCTATTAGGGACGTTCCCATTTCCCCGTTTAGTACCAATTACTGAGACTAATCATGATTCAATTATTAAAGGGGAAATGACAGACCCTTAAAATCAAGCATCACTCTCTCGTGTGCGTGTATATAAAGTGCATGTTGAAAATCTCTGTATTCCTCATCCTGTTGAGCTGCAGTTACAGTTGCACTGCTGTGATTGTCACACCGAAAAAGGTGATTAAAGATGATTTGTTGAATGATAAATTCTCTAGAGATTGGCAGTGATTTTCCGACGACATTATGAAACACCTGCTTTGAGCATTCGTTGCACTGTGGTTGCATCCATCAGACAGAGACTATATCGGAGACTTAAGGCACTAAAAGTCTTTGGTGATCATTCCCACTCTTGTGTCTCCACGGACTCATCCGTCTCTCTCTGGTGGCCGACATGTATTCGATCGATTGCGTCTGGAAGCCTGCGGCCTTTGTTCTGCACACGGTGACCTCGTTCGGAGGTTGCTATCTGCTGACACCACGTGGTGCGGCGGTCTGTTACTCCCTTGACGGACGAAGCCAGAGTTGAGGCAAACGTGCGGACAGACGCGTCACACGTTGGATTAAAAGCTCAGCTTGGGACTCAGGACTGTGTAAACTACTCCCGGAGGAGTCACCGGCACCACAAAGCACAAAAAGTGAAGTTAGTTGAAAGAAATGGTACTCGTTGGTTTGTGTTAAAGCTACAGTTTGAAGTCTCGAGGAGATTTGAGTGTTCTCCCGACAGCTGGGAGAATTAAAGAATACCGTTTCCTCTCGTTTGATCCTCCTTGGCATCTCTTACTGATGGAAGGTTGTGGGAAGGGGGGGGATTCTTGGCATATTTGTCGAATAAAAGTCCCCCTGATTGAATCACCAGCTCAACATGACTTCATCTGGAGACTCAGTGAGTAGGTCAGAGTTACTTTTTTTGCCTGGGACGCATGCAGGTTAGTTGGACTGTCATCCCTTAGGTAGGGACAGTGTCCAGAGGCCAGGTCGTCTGCAGAAAAAGACCCCATGTGGGCATTTCATATCCAAATAGAGAGTTAGGGGGACACTTGGGGGTCCTGTCTGCTGCACTGGCCAGGTTAGAGGTTCACATGTGAGTCGTCACCGTCCTCAGCAGAAGAAGATGTCCCCGTCGTCCTGAGGATCCGACATCACTGCAGCTTTGCTTTCTGAGAGAGACACAAAGACACAAATCATAATCTGGCCTAGAAATGGTCCGGCACATAATTAACATAATAAGATAAAACATGTTAGTCAGTGAGTTTTAGAGGAGCTGGTAGGTGGATTTTGTTACTTTTGGACAGAGCCAGGCTAGCTAATTCCCCCTGTTTCCAGCATTTATGCTAAGCTAGGCTAACAATCTCCTGGCCTGGTTGTACTGATTGTAAAGCCCTCTGAGGAAAATTTGTGATTTTGGGCAATCCAAAATAAATTGAATTGGCCGTAGCGTGATATTTACTGTCATGTATTACCAGGAATCTGGCAATACATTATGTATCATGATACAGGGGTTACAATTCAATACAATTGCGATACTGTAAGCAGGGCAATATATTGCAATTTTTCAAAACTAATATTAGGAAAACTATTATAGTGTAGAAGAGAACGCACCGTCATATGCATATAATCTGAGCAAAAAAACAGGGTTTCAATCAGAACAGTGGGATTTGCATTTATCACAGATCCCCGTGACATCATAACACTGCTTTCTGTGCTTACTGAGCTGCTGTCTGCCACAAATCTTTAGATGTAAACTATCTATAAAAAAATCAGTTTAGTGTTGTTGATAAATGATACAGTATCACAAAACATTATAATGCAATACTCAATATTTTCTTCACTACCTTACATTAAAATGGTATCAGCCGGACTCTCAAGGCCTTTACACACCAATGGGAATGAAGAATAAATTACACAAAAATGTGAAATACTCCTGAATATTATATTATCTAGGGCTTTTATTGTGGAAGGAAAGGACGGAAGGAGTGGATCTGGCGTGCGCTGCCTTTGTCAAGGTTGAAATGAGTAATAAAGTTCGCCATCTTTGTTTAGAGCCTCCAGATCGTTGATTTATAATCCTCATAACTGTATGCACAACTCAACACATTCGGTAAAACGTGATTGGTTGATTATTCAAAAGAGAAGAAGCAAAGAGATTCTGTCTTCATATTAAGATATATTCCAGGTGAAGAAACAAGAGGACCGGCTAATACCAGGATAGACTTTGTTCATTGCACCTGTCTGTGTCTGCTCTCCTTTGTCGTTCTTCTTCCTCTTGTCTTTCTTCTCCTTGGGTTTGGCCAGCTGGAGCAGTCTGTTGGGGAGCTGGGACTCCTTCTCGACTCCCTGAGCCTTGGAGGAGGACGAGGAGAAGGGATTGAAGTTTTTCCCCATCCTCTTGGATCCAATGCGGAGGAAGGGCTCTTTGGTCGGGGCAGAGGATGAGAGCTCCACCTGTGGTACATCAAGAAACAAAGGACAGCTCTTTTTACTTGTTCCGAGAGTCGTGGAGCAGCCGACTAAACTGTAGGTAAACACTGGTTTGATCTCCTTCTGTCAATTATTTTTACCACTTTTTGCTGTTCTGCTGCTTCTTTTGAGTCAAGATCCAGAGACCCGGAGCTGTGGAACCTTATGGAGTCCTCAGAGGTAGTGGAGGGAGTCCGCTGGTACCGCTGAAGCTGCTCCGACTGTAAATTACAGAGACACCAGAGACATGGTCACACACACCGATAACCCAGTAGTAACAGCCTTAAAGGGAACTACTCCGTCCAGCTGTCAGAGCTACCATGGAGCCCACACTGTCACTAACTTTCCACCTGTCTTCTTATTATAGGATCAGTTGTGCATCTCTAGAATGATGTCTTATGACTTTATTACTTCATGCTTTCACTGATATTAATGCTTTTCTATAACCTATGAAAGAATGATCCATTTTCATGATCTGTTTAAGTATGACCTCCTGATTTTGTAGGTCTTATTATTTCATTTTATATATTTGTTTTTGTCATATTAGGAATCGTTTGATTATCTTGTTATTTTTTGTTAAATAAAGGATGTCCATACAACTGCACTCCCTGCATCATTTTTTGGAAAAAAATCGATTTCAGAGAGAAGCAGACAAAACAGTCTACAATATGCATTTCAAGGATAAATCGAGGATGTCAAACTGATTTAGCAGCAAATACAGGTTAAATAAATAACAGAATGAAAGTGAAATGAATTTCAGGAACAACACTGTTCCTTTCAAGCTGGTTAGGTCATTCACTAAAAACTAAAAATGTGTAGAAATTCAGTCTACCTTCAATAGCTAGCGTAGCATAGAAGTGCTAACGCTATTAATGATGTGCTGACGTACTCCGCTAATGTTAGCTCCATAGGTTTTTTGACATAGAAACGTAACATAACAATTGCATGAGAGTCATAGGAGCAGAGCCGGATAGTTGTCAGCCGGGTGATGCTACACTATGATTCGCCAGTCTGCGTTCCGGGGGGCAGGACTTGGAGAAAGGTCAATTGAGTGTTTATGGGGTATCCCCATAAATTTGCAACAATTTGTGACAAATTGTAGCGCTAAACTCGTGTTTGATTTTATATGGTTACAACTATGGTTATATTCATGTGTAAAAATTTAACAAATTAAATACCCAAATCTGAAAAACCTAATTCACAAAACATAATACAAATCAAATGTGATCTAAGATTTATGTGACACTTTTATCGCAAACATGAAACGTGACGAAGCCAGTAGTAAGAAGCTGTCCTCTGAAAGTCTGGTGATAAAATAATAAAAAGACACAAATATGTTGCAGCAATTGTTTTTAGTCTCATTGTCAACAGTGACAGTGCAACTCAGAGAGCAGCTCTAATCACACAGAGGACCAGAGGGACCCGTGTGGGTGGACGTCTGCTCCGACTACAGCAATGGACTAACATGGTCCCCCTTGTTCTGACCCAGTTTACATTCAAATCTCTGCATCATTACAGGACTCTGCATGGAGACAACCCCCCTCCCGGACTCTGACCTCATCTCTCTTCATGGCCTCCAGTCTCTCGGTGTCTCTCCTCAGAGCCTCCTTGTCTCTCTCCAGCCTCCTCTGTGCCTCCCTCAGCCTCTCCAGCTCCACCTGGTATTCTTCTTTCCTCCTCTGCAGTGTCTGCCACTCCTCCGTCACCTCCCGACGCCTCCTCCTGGTCTGCTCCTCGTCCACCCTCAGCCTCTCCTCCCGCTCTGCCAGACATTTCTCCTTCAACTCCCAAGCCTTCTCTCGCCTCCTCTTTTCCTCCTGGTGTGCGGCCTGCTGTTTCTGCAACGAACCACAAAAGAACACAAACACTCCCATAGATAAACTAAATTTAAAAAAATTGAGCGGACATGGCTCGAATGGCGCCATGATCATTATGTGAAAGAAAGACTAAAGAGGAAGTGGCAGTGAAAGTGAACCTGCAGGGTGGCCGCCTCCTGCCGCTGTCTCTCCAGACTCCTGTGTTTCTCCTGCTCGATGAGGGAGGAGGGGCGGGACGACGAGGACGACGAGAGCGAGGAGGAGGATGAGTGTCTGGAGGAATTGGCGGTGAGCCGATCGCTCAGCGTCTGCCGCTGGTCCTCGACGTACGAGTCCTGCTGGACCACCACGGCCTGGAGGCAGGAGAAGAGGAGTTAGAATGAAAGTCAGATGTAAACAGGGCCTCTGTGTGCGTTTGTGGTATCTTTTTTTACTCGAGGTGTGTCGCTGGTACCTGGAGTGTAATCAGCAGGTCGTGGAGATGCGTCATACTGTGCTGCACCTGCTGGAATCACACAGCATTAAATTACATCAGAAAATGTGTTCAACTTTCATTCTGACGTAATATTAATGTACAGCTTTTCAAAACAATAGTGTGGCAATGCTTGCTGGGTAATTTACATCAAACACAGGGGAAGACCAAAGTCCTAAAACAGCAGCAGCGCTTAAAGTTGTAGCACAGTTATTTCAGATGTTATTTTCTATTTTAACTTCTTTTTTAAAAAAAAGCCTCCTGTGGACAGGTGTTGTAAATTTGCATTTCGCTACAAACACTTAACACAACGCATCTGGGCTTTGTGCATAAATGTATGTTACAATTCTAATGCTACTGTGATGTCCATATCAAATAAAAATAAACAAACATTAACATGAATCAGACGTTTACAGTGAAAACGTCACGACAGTGAGGGTAGACTATCATCGAAGAGAAGCCAATGGTAGACCGACATGGAACTAAGGAATAATATCACACTTTTCAGGAGAATGTTCAAAGAGTAATATCTTCGCTAACTGAGGATTTCTGTAAGTAAGAAAATATGCTTGTTTATCTATCGTATTTTTTGGAAACAAGCCTTTATATAGGGGAACAAGGCCATTTTTAAAAACTGTATATTACTCTGGAGGCTATATAACATGAAGGAAGAAAATACTGCAACCTGCTAATGAACTTGCATATTATGTGGGAGTGCCGGGATATCACGAGGGGACGGTAAATGGTAACTGCCTGCTGTTGGCGATATGGATGCAATATACTTAAACATGCTGTCACTCTCTGAATCTATTTTATGCAAACAGTAAACACTTGTGTGACAGGGAAACTGTGTCATATCTTTCTGACTTAATTCATCTTCCAGTAATTGTAGTTTATGCAAGCGCTGAGCATCTCGCTCTCAGGGGAATTGCGGCTAGCAACACGCACGACACATAATGTTTGGTAGCTAGCGAGCTAGTTAGATGGTAAGATAACGGCAGCGTTATCTTATTCCATGAATACAGTTCTCGACTTTTGTTGACGAAGTAAGGCAAGTGGTTCTTCAATGTGGAAACTCTAACCTATGCCATATTTACTGTGTAGAGGTATGGTTTCTGTGTTTCTGGCTACAACTTTGCCCTGCAGTGAGTGTAAGAAACAAGCCAGTAGGGTGGGGCAGGGTTGAAACAAGACACACTTACCTCATTGTTTCTCTTCAGCAACATCTGAAGGCTGGCAGTGGCTCCCTGAGGCACACACACACACAATTCATATTAATGTTTACAGCACATTTAATATCACACAGCCATACTGTAATATAATGCTAGCAGAGAACGTGTAAGGACTGTGAGCAGCAGTGAGATATTACACAGAGGAGCATATGGAATATTATAAGACATTGTTGTGGCCCTTTATTCTTTTCTTGTTTCTATAGCCATGCTAGCAGCTCTATGAAGCTGCATTTAGACACAGCGGTGCCTTTAGATAAAGGCCAATTTCAGCATGCTAACACGCTCACAGTGATATTGTTAACATGCTGCTGTTAAGCAGGTAAAATGTTTCCTATGGTGACCATTTTATTTAACATGTTAGCATGCTAACATTAGCTAGTTGAAGTCCGGGGACCACCAATGCGGCAATCTCCGGTTCTGCAGAGTTAAGTCGATGTGGAAGTATCTTAAAACTTTCATTCTCTCTAATGACCAGCAGGGTCTCCAGCAACTCCTTCGGTTGCAAAAAGAAATCTGATTGTATAGAAGTCTATGACACTAGCGGTGACTTTGCAGATTTAAACCAGCTGAAACTTCTCAAGTGTGCCAAGCGTGAAGTAAAACTGCAGTAGCCAAGTCTTTGGTTTATTCATCATATATGTACTGTCTTATTTAAAATGTATTTATAATTAATTTATTCAAATTAATTATAAATTCATTTATTTGTTGATTATAAATTGCATTATCAATATAAATCTGCAAAGTAACTAAAGGTTTTAAATAAATATAGTGTATAGCAGTACAAAGTAGCAGACAAAGGAAACACTCAAGTAAAGTACCTCAAAACTGTACTTAAGTTCATAACTTGAGGTTTCACCACCACTATCTTATCATTAGTTATTTATTTTATAGGTAATACAAATCAATTTGTCCTTCCAGATAACAATATTGATTTTAACAGTAAAAATGTTCGTATAAACGCTTTACGCACAAATACAGGATTCATCAATATTTTCTTGGCTGGATTTGTTCGTTGACATTTAGAACTCTCTCAGACCATGTGAACACACAATGGATGACGAAAATGTCTTAAAAAATGTAAACACAACTTTCAACTAAATGCAGAGCATATTAAAAGTGCAGTCATTAAATTAGGCTCAACTATAACTATGAAATTGATCCTCATCAATTATTGTCATACTTAAAATACTCAACTATAAAAAGTCACAGTCCTAGCATACAATGGAGTATATGAGAATCTCCATCGTGAAATGCAACACTTTGGGGCTCCATTGTTTGTATTTGTAGTGCCTTGAAATTGCATGAATTTGAGAATTAGTTTGTTTCCTTATATAAAGAAATCAATCAGAATAAACTGATTAGCGAATTAAACCCACTGTGAGTGTGTTCACAGTTAACCAGACATCTCACTGATGAGAACTGCAGGAATTAACCGCTGGCTCGGAAACATTTTCATCCATTCCTGCTTTGTTTATCTAGTACACTCAGTGACACCGACATCCATTTTTCAAAACAGATCTTGGAACAAAGTGCTTCCATAAATAATGCATTGTGGAGACGCAAATATGGACCACACACACACACCTTCTTCAACACGCTGTCTGACTCAGTCCTGCGGAGGTCCAGTGATTCCTCCCCCTCTTCCTTCTCTCCATCTGGGGACAAAGAAGAAAAGAGGAGCCGAGAAGTGCATCAGGTTTTTTTGTCACAGCAGAAAACATGTGAGATAAAGCAGCTGTCAAGATAAAAAAAAAATCATTCCTCAAAAGGAAACAATGTACATCAGCACTGACTGTCACCTGTTGTCAGCTGGAGCAACGACATGAAACGGCATTTAAGTAACTGCTGACCAAAAGACACGATGTATGTGTCTGTCTTACTCTTGCTGCTGTTCATCTGATGACTGTCGAAGCCTCCGAATGTCTCCGCTCTCCTGGGCAGACACACCGGTCCCACGCTGCCCCCTGTCAGGCCGACTGGAACGCTGCAGCCTGCTCCACCAACGCCACTGTTGACTAAACCGTGCAGGGTCTCCACTAGAAAGACACAGAGATCACACACACACACACACACACACACACACACACACACACACACACACTTTCATCTCTGGGACACGAGACAATGCCATGTGACCTCAGAAGCCTTGCTCGCCTTGCTCACCTTCCTTCAGGGCGTCCTTCATGATCGGCTCCCCCTTTGTGACGTTGTCGGGCGCGGCCATGAACAACATCCGCTCCCTGACTGGTGGATTCGTATCGTCAGGGGCGGGACTACAGTCGCCCAGGTCCCTGAAAATGTGGACTTTCTCCTCCAATAAAGAGATGATCTGCTCGTCTTTCCTTCGTAGAAGCTCTGGAATGAAACACAAGAGAACGTATGAGTGATATTAACGCAAGGGCATCGAGCAATAGAATATAATACTGTGGGGGGAGGGGTCACCTCGGATCTCCTTTGCTCTGTTCTCCTGCTGCCTCCTGTCCTCTTCCATCTCACTGGGGACTCCCTCGTCCTCGTCTTTCTCCCTGTCAACGCACAAACACGCCCTCAGTGTGAAGCGCAAAAGTTATCAAACAAGTTTTATTCTCGGACCCAACAAACTGAAGAGCTCTTTAAAAGACACTGTGCCATTTAAAGAACGCTGAAATTCATAATCATGTCATAGCTGAGTGGCTGGGAGAATCTGCCTCGTCATCTTAGAAGACTTCGCAGGACTCTGAAGCTTCCCATCCCCTTTTAGGTGTTTTTCTTTGCACATATGAAAACATCTCAGTCCATGTTTTAATGAAAAAACCTAACAGGGTCTTAGTTTTGTGATTTTGGTCATTGTTTCTTTTTCTTTTTCTCACTCACTCACTTCACTCTTCACAAACACTGGTGGTTTTTATTTTGGTTTTGGGAGGAGCCTTTTGCTTCCATTACATTTCATTGACTAACTTTAAAATCCTGAGTTATAATATTTTTTCAGTAACAAAATGGGAAATAAAAGTGAGGGCCCAGCAGGCAAAATGACACCTCCTGTGTGGGTGTGGCGGGGCGTGTTGACACGTGACGGTGATGTATTCAACCAATAATCAAGCATGCGTAAATCAACAACCCACTACTTGTTCTTAAAAGTAGCACTTTGTTGTTTAGTCTTGGTAATCCTGGAGGCAACTTCGTGATTTGTGATGTTGGGCTGTATAATTCGGATTGACTTGCAATAATGATCTCACCCGTCGACAACTGGAATCATCAGACTACTCTGACACATTTGGTTTGAACAAAGGTAAAAACCTTCTCCCCTTCTCTAATTTATGCTGCTATCCCACAATCCCAGAGTACGGAGGAGTATTAGAGCCAGGCATAAGGGGAAAAATGGGGAGAAAAAAAAAATAGTTTGCATTTCGAGAATTAAGTCGAAATGTTGAGAATAAAGTAATAATTGTGCTAACGCTAGTAGTTTCATTTACTATCAAAAGTTCAATGTTTATTCTCAACATTTCAACTTTACTCACAACAATCGACTAATTCTAAAAATGGTATTTCAACTTCATACTCAATATTTCAACTTTATTTTCAATAGGATATTTTAACTTTATTCTGGAAATGATATTGAGATTCCCAACATTTCAACTAAATCCTTTAAATGATATTTCGATTTTTTTTTTAAAATAGAAAAACTTCTTTTAATTTAATTTATTTATTTTTGTCTTATGCCTGGCATTATTTCTGAACACATCAACTTTATTGCAAAAAAACCCTCATTATTTTCCTCTTATGCCTGGCCCTAATGGTCTTCCGTACTAGAGATAGTTAATTTTTTCCACACTGAACATTTACAGTGATGAACACGTCGTCGTACTGAGGGGCCTTCATCCTGAGAGAACATTGTTTAAAGCATGACCCTGTAGTTTACATAGAAAACGAAAGTGCTGAATAGAACTCTGACGTAGTTTTGTACAGTAACGGTAAGAACATAAAGCGTGCTGTATCCTCACATGCAGTGCATGGCGTCCTGTATGATAGCCCTCCACGTGTTACGCTCCTCCTTGCTGCTGGCCAACACCTCCACCATCTCTGGTCTCTCTGTACCAGCTGTGATCAGAAAGAGACCTGCAGGAGACATCACACCCACTCAGTCTACCATTTTTCACCCAATTCACTGATCACATCAACACAATCGCGGGCTCGTTCGTGGATGTAATGCTGTGTATGCGAAGCAGACTGACCTCGCTCCTCATTGGCCACTTCTCTGACTATCAGATTCTGTAAAGAGATGACCGTAGAGCGCTGATCCTGAAGGAAAAGAGTTCCACATCAGACTGAATATATATGGAAAAATGAGCAGATACTGTCACTGCAGGTACTTACCAATGAGGCAAAGACATATTTCTGGTCTTTTTCCTGAAGAAAGATCAACACGTCCGATAGGAGCATGGCCTGGACATCTGCAACACAAAAGACGATGATTGCAGCATCCTGTATGGTGTCTGAGTCAACTGGTTTACGTCGTTTTCCATTTTCCTCTGTGCAGAACAAAGCAATGAGTGCATGTGTTTCAAGAGACCGGAGTACCTTTGAGTCGTCCAGCAGAGTTCTTCAGCTGCAGCGCTCCATCGTGCAGCAGCCTCCTTCCTCTGATCAGGTCCTCTTTAGCAAACATCTGGCCGCTCTTCATCCTCATGATGGACTTGCTGTCAGTGCGACTGGGAGATCACAGGAATCATATTCCATGTTTAACCTTTTCAGGCCCTTATCTCTCATCCACACAACGTTGGAGTTGCAAAGACGTGTATTGATAAAACACATATTGGACTGATGGGTTCCAACTCTGGAAACTTTTGTTCTTATAATGTGAATTTAAAAAAAAATAAATGTCCACATCTAGAGAGGAGAAATTAGGGAAGCAGATAATATTGTACACAGTAGTGTGCTGCTCAATGTATGTTTATTATCCTGTGTTCATTACTTCAGCAAGGAGATCATGTATTTAAATGTGTGCATCTCTGTTTCTGTCCATCCACATCTAATCTCTCATACTGCTGGACCCATCTAAAAGAAATTTGCTCATTTATGACTGTTAGCTTAAGGACCTCTCGTAGTTGACATTTAATGGATAACATATTTCATTGACTCCTCACTACTATTAGCTGCCTGGCAAGTGATCCACAACTGCTTTAGTCAGTGGTGGGCCGTCAGGGCCAGCTAAGCCTTCTCTGCTGGCCTAAACAGAATCACAAAGTTATAGCTATTTTATCATTTAATAATTTTTCACAAATACACTACATGTATTATAATTTTTTTTCCCATTAGCTTATTGTCTCATTGCACAGCTACTGTCTTCCTCAGTTGCTCTGCTTCCAGCCTGCAGCGCTGCTTCCAGCACAGCTTGTTTTAAGGAGAGCTTTTATCCAATCAGATTCATCCCCTAGTTCTCTATGTAAGAAGAGAGGCCCGATGCCCGCTAGAGAGCCTTTGCAGTTTAAGTGAATGGGGACGTTATTGTTGATTGTCATAGTCTTCATGCAATCAGATGTTTAGTTTGACATGTTGGGCGTATTCTTTGACGTGCCTGTGGTCCCGAGGTAGCCTCCTAAGTACATCTGCATTAACGTGCGCTGTGATTGGTCAGTGGGCCAGCGTGACTTTTGTCAAACAGAAAGCTAGCTAGCAGATGTTAGTATTTATAAAGAGTTCAGGTTGAAACATATGTAAGAGAAGTTATGACATTGACATGACATTTTTAGCATTTTGCTTGGTGTAGATTCTTTTTTTCTTACCTAGCTTTGTTTTTTTAAAATGGCTGAAGGAGGAGGAGAAATGGATTTGGGAGTTACGGACTTTGTTATCAAAGAAAGGAGGATGGACTGTGAAGGCAGCTGTGTTAAGTGAACTGCTTTTGTTTTTACATCTGCAGTAGAGTTTCTACTGTGTTCATTTGTCTATCGTGTCATTTTTATGAATAATATGAATGGCTCGTGCTCCAGCGCTGCAGTGTTGCTGGATTGATTTGTCATGTTTTATGTTGTAAGTTTGTTCTTGTCCTTGTGTTAATTACATTGATTCTGACTTGTCCGTTAATGACGAAGCATCCCGTCATCGCGGGGTTATTTCCGACATTTGATCCTCTGTTTGAATCAGTAGGGAACAGCTAACTGCTGTTGTTTCCCCGCTAAGCTAGTTTAGCTTAGCCTCCCCGAACGCACGCAGGGCCTCAGCTGTTTTTTGTTATTGTTGGATTCAAAATGTCACACAGCCCGTTGTCTGTTACGTGAGCGCTGTCCACCGAAAACATTATATTTCCCACAATTTAAGCTTCTGCATTTTCCAAATGCACTAGTATTATTCAAACGTATTGTTCGGTTCGTAAGCCTCATACCAAACAGTTTAATACGAATATGTGTATTGTTACACCCCTAGAAACAAATAAGTAGGACAGCACAGAAGGCCCATGTAGCTATAAAATGCACGGTCCGCCACTGGCTTTAGTTTCGGACTCTTATTTCTTCTACGGTGCGATTGGCTAAAAGGGTTAAAAAATCAAATATCCAACGGGGCTAATACAGCTAGCAAAGTTAATGGACTGACAGTTTCTGTTCAGACAAAGCGTTTAACAGTCAACATGGACATTACACAGTAAACTGCAGTTTAATATGACAACACAATTGACTCAGCACATGGCCGGTTGCTTTTTGTCGGGGCAATTTTTGTCGTTTCATTTTGCCAATTTAATAGTCTGCCTCAGAAGAACAGAAGTTGCTCAGAGAAAGAGACAGCTGGGGAAAACCAGCATCTAACTCAGTAAACGAAGAGTTAATTTTGACCAAACCAGAGTTGGTGATTGTTGGAACAAACTAAACGAGAAGTTTTTTGTGAGTTTTATTTTGTGTCCGTTGAGTTTGAATGATTTGTGTTTTACAATGAGTTAGCAAGCCATTTTTAGCTAGTCTTAGTTCAGTGAAAGAGAGAAACTTGAATTCAGAAGGTGTGCCATTATATTTCTCTGTTCATTAAGAGGACTAGGTATTAGAAAATATTTTCTTTCCTTTTTTCTTCTACATTGTTTGTCACCGAGTCTGACTGTCTGTTATTTAGCCGCCATGTTATATATAATTCTTGTAAAGGGCAATATTTGACGTGTAATATGTATAGGCTGAAAGAAAGAGGTTTTGCAACTTTAAGTTCCAAGGGACCCCAGAAGAGCTAAGTTCACAATATTTATTAATATTTTTGTTATTGCGGGGTCAATATGGAGAATGATGGTCTATGTTGTTTTGATTTTGTTTCCCTTTTTTTTTTTTTGAAAGAAAGAAAGAAAGAAAAAATACTTTCTTGACAGAGAAACAACACAACCTGCTCTGCCAAAGGTGCAAAATATAGATAAAGATATTTAGTGCCTTCTTATTGGGCATCAACCTCACTTTTGCACGTGCATTGCCGAAAAAATAAAAGCTTACGGACATAGTTAAGCTCACGAGACGCAAAACCTGTACAGATCTGGTGCAGACGTCTGCATAGATTAAAACAAGAGTGAAAAATGCGTCTGATATGCTTGCGGGGGTTCAACAATTGTGGTTTGTACTCGTTAAATCAAACATTACAGCAGCGGTCGTTGCAGACTTTTCTAGTTACCTTATTTTTTATTTGTTCAAGTGGACATTTGACAGGAAACTGTATTTTAATCAGTTCTGTGCATAGTCTGAACTGCCAGGGTGAGCTAAACTGCTGATCTAGGATCTGATGCATACAGTGTGTCGTCTCTAGTCTGCCTAATGTACCTGTACACCTCCCTCAGCCTCTGTTTCTTCTCCTGCTCGTTGACTTTGCTGTCCACAGCCATGATCAGCTCCTTCACAGAGCGCAGAGCTTCACAGACACAGCCGTGGTCTTCATCCGAGTCTGTCAGAGCAGAGAGGAAACACATAAAGCGTACTCAACATGTACCATACACCATTCCTTTGAGGCACTTGTTACAGGATGAGTCCTTCATCCTTACCTTTAGTGTGCTGCAGTATCCTCTGGAGGAGAACGGGATATTTGGTGATCCTCTGAGTGACCAACAGAATGCACTCTGGGATGCTGAGTCTCCGCACAATGCTGCTGCTCATCGTTCTCTGCACGAACGCAAAGATACACAAGAGGCGACTTCACAATCAAATCCCATGCAGGCGAAACCGTGGCACTGCCACACACACATGTATAGAAGAGAGAATGCCGACCTTGATGAAAGCCTGGAAGCGTTTGTCTTTGGCGTGCAGGTCTTTGTAGAGGTTGACGGCTTCGTTGTGGTGACTGCAGAATTTCCCGTAAGCTTTCTTCATACGATCAGCACTGCAGCCTGAGAACTGAATTTAAAACCATTAGATTTTTAATATTTCTCTTCTATTTAAACTTCTTTTAAGGTACAAATTGAAGGAATTGGTAGGATCACATTTCAATGGAATTGTAAATAATAATGAGCGTAGTAATTTCTTAACTAAATTAACTTGGCTCAAGGATTGACACTAGGCCTATATGAGAGATAAATCAGATATTTTACTGTATTTAATAGCTGCAACTGCATTTTAGTAGTAACTTAGTTGTAAAGTATCTCTGCTCTATGACAGCCTCAGAAACTTCTGTCTTTCAGCTGCTGACTACAGCTGAGGCGTATTATTGGGTGTTTTTTTATATTTCATAATTGCATGCAAATTGAACATCTTTGGAAATGATAAATTCAGTATATCATGCTGCGTTAAGATTTGATTCTGACTGGTATTTCCGCACACATCATTGCAGTTTGAATGACAGCGTTGGATTGTCCACTTTATAGGACTATATTAACAAAGGTACATTTTTATGTGAAGGGGCCTATTTTACTAAACCCCTCATTAACTATGTTTTCTACTGACGCCTGAGATAGCAGACAAATTATGTTTGTAATTTCTACAAAATGCAACGTTTTTGTTGAAAGAGCTTCAAAATAATTTTGGACCCTCATCTTGGTGTTTTGAACTAGATTATTTTTATTAACATGCAAAAACAGGATTAAGGAGTATTTGAGACCTAAATGTGCTTGTCCTGACATTGAATAAAAATCCTTTGGTTGATGCAATTTGTCGTTTTTTTTACTTTTTGCTGTTTTTGTGGTGAAACGTTTACGCTGCCATCTTGACCAGGATCCCATTTAAAAAAAAGAGATTCAAATATCCTGAATAAATACAGGTTTAATAAAATGAAATAAAATATTGTAGGGGGTCACTGGTCTGCCTTTACAATGTTGCATTTGGTGGTAACTCTTTTTTCTTCTTGCTCACCTGGTTGAGCAGGACGTCCCCGATGCTGAAGATGAAGAAGCTGTCGTTGTTTTGTCCCTCAGTTGATGAAGCTTTCTTTCTCTCCAGGAGCAGGGTGAGGAAATGTGTGTGCGTGTCCAACATGTCATCCAAAACAGGGAAAATCTACAGAAAAACCATCAATAGACTAGCTCTTAAGAGTGTGTAGTTGAAGGATGATTTGTTTATTAATATTGCTGGTATGCATGTCCACAGGGGAAACTGCTCTTTAGCACATCGGTCACCTTGTCCAGAGTGTGAGTGTCGAGCTGCAGCTCCTTCTGAAGACCTTTGTAGTAAACTTCCGACATGATCTTCAGCGTCCTCACATGGTGGAACTCTGTCTGGTACAACTCTGTGGAGAGAAGGGACTCTTATCTCCACGTTTATGGACCAGACAGACGCATTTACACATGAACTTTATCTTCCTTCCAAAACGAGTCGCAACACATTTTTACCGTAGATGACGTCTTGTTTCTTGATTTCATCTTTCTTTAACGTTTTCAAGAACTTCTTATCCATTGTGCCGCTCCAAGAGTCGGCTTCCAGATCTTTAGTGTCGCACTCAAACTCTCCCATCAGCTGGCTGTCCATCATCTCCGTACCTTTGCACACGCAATAATGATTAGAAGGGCACACGCAGGAATCTGAGTCAACATCATAGACACAACCTTCTGTTAATTAGCCTGTAAATAAAAGATGGATGACAAGAACAGCTCCCCAAAAGTGAAGCCAAAACACCTTGAAACACAAATCATGAGTCTTTGAGAGAGAAGATGCTTCAATTTGACCATAAATGTATCTATAGAGATATTATGGTTAGCTGCTGTGTCTTTCTAGCCACACAGCTACCGCATTGATAATGCAGCAGCTAGGTGGCTCTCATGCTAACAAGCTGTGGCTGTGCTCTGCTTGCGATTGGCTTGGGTGGGTGTGTGGGCGGGACCTTGATATGCCACCTCCACCTCCCTGATCACACCTGCTCAGTCTGGCTCCAAATGCACAAGATGGCAGCGCTTTCATCCGGGATATTTTGGCTTCATTTTTGTACAGTGGAAGAAAATGCAGACGCGTCATCCATCTATATATACAGTCAATGTGTGTCAGACACACAAAAATACACCAGTTTTTCTACGTGTATTCAGTGTGCGAGTATGCTACCTTCATCGGTGAGTGACTCAGTCGAGGCATTGACCTTGCTCCCCTTATGGAGAGAATCAGTGGACTGGGACAGAAACTTCAGGCCTTTGAGTGAAACTTCATCTAACCTACAGGGAACAAAAGGATGATTGAGTTTCTAATAGGTCCACTGCCTACAAATTACAATCACAATCTTTAGTTCGACAGCATATATAACAGCTGCTTCATACTAAGACAGGAATCACAGAAAGATAGACCAGGACAATAAAATACAACAGTAACAAACAAAAGTGGGGGATGGATACAGAAGTAACTAATATATTCAAAACAGACGAGGAACAAAACACACTGCTTACTACAGCTAGAGTATGAAAATGTATTATTTGTAGTGAATTAAAAAGGAAGTCACAAGATGAATGTCAACAGGATGGCTATAAGTACACCTAAATAATCTGTATGAGCATTTCAGTTATAACACAACCTTTTATATAATTACCATGATAACATTTTTGATAAGGAGCCTTTCATTTTTTCAGTCTGAGCTGCGTGAGTGTGTGTGTGCTTTGTACATCTATCTTTATGAGGACCTATTTTTTAGACCCGAAGTGTGAGGACATTTTGGAAAGTTACATTTTCAGGCCTGCTTGAGGGTTCAGACTTTGTTTTAAGGTTCGGGTTAGAATAAGGTTAGGTTAGGTGTTGGGGTCAGGCACTTAATTGTGATGGTTGAGGTCAGGGTAAAGGGCTAGGAAATGCATTATGTCAATGAAAGTCCTCACAAGGATAGCGGTACAGGGAAGTGTGTGTAAGGTTTCTCACCCTGCTATGTTGCTGGTGGAGATGCTCTTGGCCAGGTTGCTGTGTGGGTTGAAGAGACTGGGGTGTCTCCTTGGAAAAATCACAGGGAGCTGGTCATCAGGGGTGGTTGCTGTGGACCAGCGTTCCCGTGACGATGAGGAGGACGTGGAGGATACAGATGATGCTGAAGATGTAGCTAGATGGGAACATCAAAGTGCACATTTAGGACTTACCATACCAGCAGTAGACTTTCATGCCTAGTTTATTAGGAAATAGTGATTCAGAATTGAGTACTATCACTGAGACCACAGACTGTACATAAGAAGGGGACGTAGTCGTCGTGACGTCACCCTGCCGTTTGAAGCACTAAATGAACATCATGCTGTATTGAATTAGACTTGAAACTAGCGATTGAGACCATAAACTCATGTTTACAATGTTTACTGAGGGAATAAATCAAGTGAGAAGTAGAGTAATTTTCTCATAGACTTCTATACAATCTGACTTATTTTTGCAAACAGAGGGGTCACCCCCTGCTGGTCAGTAGAGAGAATGCACGTCTAATGCTGCGTTCACACCAAACGCGTCGCGAATTTTTCGCGCGAGTAGATTACATACAAAGTCTATGCACAGACGCGATAAGACTGGTGCGGCGCGAATTTGACTGAGACTGTGATGTGTTTATCAACAGATCTTTGTTCTCAAATGGAGACTTTTTTTCACTGCACATGGCAATACATACAACAAATGAAGCAATAAATGACAGGAAGTGGCAGTGTAACATTAAACTGGAAGCAATCTGTTTTTTAATCTCTTAAAACCCACCTGCCCGCAGTCGGGTTAAGGTGAAATCACGATCAACAATGTTTTAAATGATGTTAAAAGGTTTTATAGTCATCACAATGCAGTTTGTTCATCTTGACTATGTCATCTTGATTGTGACATAATTAACTCGTTCAATAAGAATTTGCTAGTTTGTATGTGCTCTTACATTTACTCCTCATGTTAACAGCTGACCCAGGAACAGCTTCTGGCACCAGCGACTGCTGCTGGAAACAAACAGATGACATCTTTAGGAGAAAGGTGAAAAACTTCAGCATCTAAAAGTTGTTCTGTTTCCTGCTACAACATGACACTGATGATTACTGATCATTATTTAAGTCCCAACTGGAGTCTGTATTTTTTTTAAAATCTGATTTCCACCAAGAGTTTTGCATGTTATCTTTATCTCCACTGTCAAATTAAAAGTAAATTCAAAGATTCTTTTAGATAGATAAATACGAAGTCTGGATCAGACCTACCTTTGTTTTGCTCTTTATACAGATGGAGAGGTTCTCTCTGCAGCACTTGTGGACATGGGCTCCACAGTCTGCAAACAACACATTATGATCATTAGAAACAAGCATTGTTCGACTTCCGGGTTGTGACGATCAGGTGAAAGAGGTCTGTCCATGTATTTGTCAATTCAGTCCATTAAACGCCAAGCTTTACCTATTGAAACTGCTATGGACAATAGCTTACAGTTACGTTTTTATTCTGGTGGTGATATGAGCCTTTCTAAATCAAAATCCTTCAATGCACAAAGTTTCACAAAAGCTGGGAAGATCTCTAGATGCCCGATAAAACCCCTGAAAGACTTGGCCTTGATAAAGAAACTCTCTCCATGAACCTGCTGGTGCTTGAACTGGAGACACAAAGCGCCTGCCTCCGAGAGAACATGTCAACACGAATTCAAGACTCGGTCAAGTCGCAGCAGATCTCCGTAGGCGCGTTCAGAGGGACTGTTAATAACTTTCAGTGCCGTCTTGCTGAGTTGCTAGCTGGTGACGAGCGCCTAGCAGCCACCAAAACGACGGCGAAAAACAAACACCTGCTTTGGTGACCTGGAAAACCTCGAGATAATAAACAGGCCAGGACCTGATCGAGTTCATCTCCGCCCGGCTGATGGAAACTCTGGACCCCAGGGAAGAAAGCTTCACTTTAGAGACAAAAGAGGACGTGCGTGGATGACGTCCACGCATTTAAAAACAGGGGAAGGCAGAATATTTTTGGCATCATTGGGCCAAAAAAACTTCAACAATAACCTTTCAGCATATTGTAATTCAAATGGTCTGAGAGAAAACTAGATGTCTGCACCTCCTCTTGGCTCTGTAGTGACAAAACTACTGTAAAGTCCAATTCACTCTCTGTGAGGACAAGCTACAGTTCTGCTCACAGTTTTCCTCTACGCTAACACTGTTCTAGTAACTATGACAATAGCAACACACACACAGAGACACTCGAGTGATACAACAGACTGTAAGACTGGTCGAGAAAGTTAACAGAAGGCCCCTCCTCTCATTCTACCACTCATGGAACAAACTGAGATGCACACACATCTCCACCCTTCAGTCTAAAAACACTCTGAAATAAGAGCAAAGAAGCACTAAGTCAGCAAAAAACTGTGTGAAAGCTGCAGTCCTCATTTATATAAAAAGAGTGGCTGTGTGCATATCTGCCTCTTCAAACCTACAACTTCCTGTTCGTTCCCACTCTTCTCATCTACAGTCACACGGTGAGCTTGACGATTGAAACATAGTTATGAGCTAAGCTGTTTCTTCATATGTATGTCTATATCAGTGATACGGGACAAACCTGCGGCCAAACGAGACACAGATTGAGACATTCTACACGGTAACTCACGTCGCTAAACTCAAACCACAGACTTTAACATCACTCAAGTCAGAAACTCTCCTAATATGAGAGTGTGTCCGGCAGCTTCACCACGCTGCCGAAGGTCCAGGCCGTATTGCCCGGCCCGTGGGAGTGAAAGGAGGCACGGGAGAACCAGAACCCATAACTGAGCGGGGTGGACTGTCAGACCCCTGCTGCTTTAAACGAAAGGGTTTTCTAAAGGGGATCTGGTGCTCTTAAACACGACAGCTTTTGTCCACAGGCACTGCCAAAATCAAAACCAGAATGAAAGTTTCCTTCACGCAATCTATGTTTAAAGGACAAGGATAGGAAGAGGAAGAAGTTGTAAATCAATTTTTAATAAGTTTGGTTATATCCTATGTTTTATGTTTGATAATTTTTGCTGAGGAGCGATGGCATATTGATAAAAAAAAGCTTGGAGAGGGGAAAAAACAAACAAACATGCAGTTGTATAAATGTCACATTCAGTTGATGATGATGACCATGATTACTGGATGATTTGTAATTTTGAGATTAACAATGGTAATCTTCAACACTTGTACTGCAATACTACTAGAAATAATGTGTTGATGTCGGGGTCTGCTGCAGTACGCCTCACTTTATTAATTATTGTTTTGAAAAAATGAATATTTTGAAGAGCAAAATGAAAAGTCACCAGCTTCTGCTATATTTTTGCCACTTTGGAAATGAATGTGTTCCTTTTTATAAAACCCTGTGGACTAATGAGGCTATAGCGTTGATTCCATATGTGGTTTCCTACTGTGAGACACGCAGAGTTAAAGGGAAATGAGAGAGAGAGACACATCACAGTGAAACTACTGAAGGAATAGACTACATGAGAAAGAGGTGGCCACAGACAAGGAGAAGGAATGAAAAGAGGAAGAAGAGGGGAGGAGGGAGAGAACAAGAGGAGGGAAGGAGAGAGTGGCGAAGTTAAGATGAGACGGAGGAGAAAAGAAAACTTGAGTGAGTCTTACTGTTGCAGAGGAAAGTTTCCTTGTTGTGCAGGAGTTTGGTGCAGTGCTGACAGGCTGTGGACGGAGAGGGGCTGACTGGGATGAAGAGGTGACCGTTTGCACTCTTCTTATCTCTCTCTTTACTCTCTCGCTCCCTCTCTCCTTTCTTCTCCTTCTCCTGGAAGCAATAACGAGATAGAAAATCAATTACAGAAAATATTCAGGGACTACTATTGTTTATTGAAAAAATAACCTGTTGAGAATATCTGTTTTTTTGGTTTTCAAATTATTTCAATTCATGCTTTCTTACATTTAATTATTATCATATAGATTTAAAGCTAGGGTAGATCATTTTACACCTTTTTTTTTTTAAACCTAAATTTGTTATATTTGTTGAAATTTTCTTTAACCGCAATCAATAAATCATATACTCTAACAAAAAAAATAAGAAAGAAAATATCTGGTATCTGTGGCTGTCGCAGGACTGTAACTATCCTGTCCAATCATTTCATTGGACGGGATGAACAAACTGAGTTTTTAGGTTGGATACGTTCATAATCGAATGTCTCTAATGTTGCTGCATTTTTTTTAATGCCCATCAGTGGGCGACTCCTCTGGTTGCAAAAAGAAGTCAACGTATAGAAGTCTATGAGAAAATGAACCTACTTCTCATTTGATTTATTCCCTCGCCACGAAATTGTCCGGTCCGAGAGTTGTCCGTGTTTTCGTCCGACAATTTGAACCTTTTCACAGTGTGTATTCAGCCCATGAGAGTTAACTTTTCTGGTTGTCGAATATGTCTTATTTTACTATTACTTAGCTCCACCCTCTCGAGTCACTTCTGGTTGTAAAAACAACATGGCGCTGGCCAAAAACCAAGATGGCAACTGCCAAATCTTTGAATGTGCTGAATCGGGCTCCAGTCAATGTCCACCAGTCATGTATTTTTTCTTATTGCACCCTGTTGCCATGTGATCGACAAACCTCTGGCCACAGCCGCTGCAGACTTCTTAAAAACAATGTAGCTACTGTAAAACACCTGATTGGTACATTCCTAATCTTCATCATCACAACTGTTGCACCCTCCCACACACGCCTTTATACTTAGGTCACTTTTGGGGACATTTCATTCATTTCCTGGAAACTAACCCTAACCATACCCGTTACTTATCTACCCTTAATCTTAAACGTTGATACAGAAATCTGCTTTGTTTTAAATTGGGGCCATGGCTTTTGTCCTCAATTCCACAAGCCGTCCCCAATTAGCTTGTCTTAAGTCTGAAATGTGTCCCCGAAGTATTATACACACACACACCATAATCATCATCGTCATAATCATCACAATCATCTTCTTCTTACCTCATCCAATACGGTTTCTCCTCTCCACCTCACAGAGAGACTGAACCTCTTACTCGGCATGGCTGTAACTGTCCTCCTGTCTCCTTTTCTCTCCCTATACTGTCTGTCTGTATGTCTTCTTCTAATCCGCAATGGGAATCCTGCCCGTCTAGATTTCTTTATCTGTCTGAGCATCCTGTTGTCGTCTTTTTGATTTAGCCATTGTGTACAAGCTGCTGCTGCCCGCCTGTCTGCTTTTAAATCAGGAAGTGAACTTGCATCTAAATTCTACGCAACGGCCCCCCCACACACACACAAACGCACACACACCAAGTTCCTCTTTCACTTTTCACCTTGCAGACCTCTACAAAATTATTGTCATCTTCACAAAGCAACCATTTCAGCATACATGCCCAAAATGAACGCTGGTATCTGATGACAAAAACAAAAAAATATATACATAGGTTTTAATGCAGTTGTGGACATTTTCGCTTGGTAAATATTCTCTTTGAATATTTAGTTTCACTTCAGTTTTAAATTTAGTTTCAGTTCCAATTTAAGTTTGCTGGCTAGGGGGTCATATACTCCTGAATATATAATGATGGAGGACCTGGGATCAGTTGTATTTGGGATGCATAGATGAAATGCACCAGCTCAAATAAAACTAACCTGAATTCAGCCTAATAAACTTGAAATAATCCCAAATGGGCCATTCATCCCCAGTGACTGGATGAGGATTTGTACTGTACATGTTGCTGTAGCATCAGTAATGGTGGCTCTGCTTGTAAGAACAAGCCTCAGGGCTTCATTGTGTAATCCTGACTTCCTTTGATGTAAGCACTCACTACTCTGGCTAAGGTGGTGTTTTGTTTTTTTCTGAAAAATTTCCCCTTGGGGATGAATAAAGTATATTTCTATTCTATTCTCTTCTAAAATGAAGATATTCTTTGAGATTAAAGTGGTAAATTTGCGGGGAAAAAACAAACTCATCTCTTTGCAAGGTCAGATGAACCTCGGCACACCACCCACGCCACTGTTAAGCAGGGAATGCCACATGCACACGTTAGTGAGGCTCTGCAACAGGATGGGACATGGCAAAATCCTTGCATCTATTCATTGCCTTGTAGCTCCTGATGTACCAAAGCTATCACCTCATCCAAATCAGTATGTTTTCTTCTGAAGAGGCCTAATTCACGGCAGAGTCTCTTCAAAGTCCAGATGGTGATACAATATGGTGATTCTGGGCTAGAATCACGAGCATTTTATAGTTGCTAAATCTAATTTCGAAGTATAATTTGAAGAGGTCATCTGATGCTGACGTAATACACGGAAAACGGCGGCGTCTGGTGAGATGAGGTTGTTCCAACCTTGCAAAGTGAAGCGGTTCCTTGAAAAACATTCAGCTCATCAGACTGAATTAATTAATACCAGTGAATCAAAGACCAATATTTATATAGTTATTTAAGTAAGATTGAGATTGCGTATCATTGAATACAAATTTTGTACATACGTGTCATTGACTAAACACTTGATACTGATTCAGAATGAAAACACTCCGTCTCTGTGTAGCAAAACGTGTCTTATTTTTTTTTTTCAACATGAACTTGTTTGTAAGAGATTTTAATTTATCTCTGCCCTCCATTAACAACCAATGACAGGGCTAAGAAATGCAGTGATATACCCAGCTACAAGCACAACACCGACATAAATGCCATGGACCGACTGCGGCGAAGCCATCTGAAGGGAAATAAGACAACCACAGAGCCGTTTCAACTTCGTATTATGAGATGCTGATGATGTTACAGAGCCGAGTGCACCACTGAAGACACAGTGTATTCACACTGTTGAGTGAAAATGATCTTATAAATCACACTCATACTGATGATTAGGATGTCGGTTGTCTTGTTACTGCGGTTTTGTCTTATGAATGTTCCAACTCAACATAATTCTGCACAATAATTAGCCATATATTTGTATTATCGTTTGTTTTCGGGGTAACTGACTGTCGGACAGATGTCAGGTTTTTATCCGTCCAATGGGATATTTTTCGGACTATTGCCATAATGGGCCTTTGGAACACCTTCTCAACACTCAAAAAGGTACGACAAACGCCGTGACGACTACCTCAACAATCAAATACATGGCCTTCTATCACATGCATAGTCTCAGCTGTACTCCGAAACAAACGCATGCCTTAATAATGAGTGTGATATTGCAGAATTGTTTGTGGGGGTTTTCCTGATCAGAATCAAGACTTAGAGAATAGACGTGTCCCACGCTGGACAGGTTTTAAAGCCCGTGGACACAAACTGATATAGGGTTGTGTAAAAAAAATGTACTGTAGACTATACAGTTGATTAACAGAACAACCACTTGCATGATGTCCCATCATGACAAAATAGATCAATACCGTCACAGCTCTAGTGTGAATGAACATGCGTGTGCGGGCAGATGGCTGTAACTTGTCACAGGTGTTCTCACCTTGCTTTTCTTGGTCATCTTGCTGCGGATGTAGCTGAACGTCCGGCTGATTTTAGGTCCTCCTTTGGCCTCGGTATCACTCCGCAGAGGGCCCGGCTCCTCCTCCGAAATACTGACAAACATACACACGATTGAAGCCAATCCGCTTTAATACACACAACAAAGAGGAGTGACAAAGTCTGCTCATACTTTTTGCTAGGCGCGCCTAAGATCTCATGTTCATGAAGATATGACGGAGATGAGGTCACAGTGATCTTGACCCTTCATCAAAATCTGTTCTTTCTTGAGGTTAAGTGGACGTTTGGGCCAAATTTGAAGGAATTTGGCCCAGAGGTGTAGAGATTTCGCTTTCATGAGAATGAGACAACCCGGGTACAAAGCTGTGAAAAAATCTCATCTGAATTATGGTACCATTCATTGAATTACAGCCTGTATCAATATTTGGAAAAAGACCATTCCCAACAACACAGTAAAACAATTTTAGCTACATCAGTTCCCTTCTTACCTGTATTCCAGTGACCCGGAGTTACTGGAGAATGCGCTCGTCCCTACAAGAAGCAAAGAGGACAGACATCATCTGATCAGACACAGCTGCTACAACACTGCATGGCAATACATGTTCATACCTGCGACAAAAGTATTCACGGCCAAATATATTATCTAAATCTGGTCCAGCAAAGTGGCAGTTCAAGTGAGGAGATAAAGTGCTGAATGATTAGGAAGTAAAGAGGTAAACACAACATTGACCGGGGGAGACAAAGAGGGAAAGTATATTACCAGTGATAAAAAAACATAAACAGGAGGTCACTTCTACAAGACCACCTTTCCATGTAGCAATTAAAAAAAGAAGAATAGGTTTTTGTACAGCTACATAGAGTAGGCAGAAATAAAATAAAAGTACCTCCAACAATCTCATTAAAAGCAGGCCTGTTATGATAAGTAGACAAAGAGTACACTTATTATTTCTTATTTAATTCATATTCCATATACTGTATTTTAAAGCCTTAATCTTATACTGTATTGTATATAACTATGAGATGCAGCTGAAAGATAGCAAGTGGACCTTGAGTTAAGTTTGTTTTGTCAGAATACTGTTTCCAAGGGCAAGACTTTTTATGTCCAAAAGTTCACAGGTTTGACTCGTACAAAAGCTGTGTTTTAACTCTGTTATGTTGTTCATTCTGTACACATGACATATATTGCACTTCTGTCCATCCTGATAGAGGGATCCTCCTCTGTTGCTCTCTCTGAGGTTTCTTCCTTTTTTTGGGGAGTTTTTCCTGTTCCGATGTGAGGCTCAAAGGTCAGACGATGTCGCATGTGTACAGATTGTAAAACCCTCTGAGGCCAATTTGAAATACAAAAGAGCGTGGGGGCTGCGTGGGTGGCGGGGGAGGGGTGCTGGGTGTTTTTGTTAAGGTGCCAGTGACACATGAAAAATGATCCAGGAAGTCCATTGGGGGTAACAGATTGACGTGTTTATATGTTATCAGACGGCAAAACTCAGAGGTTTACAATACTCACAGAAAGAATCATGGTGGCATCTGTTGTAACTTTTTTTGGGGGGGGGGGGGTGTGTCAAATAGACAGACTGTAAAAAGCTGGTGGCTTCCAGGAAACCCGGAAGTGTCTTTTCTATCCATCTGCCTCTGCAGTTCCAGGATGAGGCGGACACGTTTTTAGTTGGTTTTGTTGGACAGTGTTATGGGACACCGCACTGACAGGGGAAAAACGGGAACACGTCTACATTCATCATACTTACTCCCTCCCTTCTCCTCCTCCTCCTCGTCGCTGGAGGAGGAGCCAATAGCAAAGAAGCGTCTACTTTTGGGGAGGAGCGGGGAGATGCTGAGGGAGAAGCGGATTCGTCGCTTTGATTGAGGAAATCCACTCACTAAAAGGGCGGGGGCGGGGGGGGGGGGCGTTGATGGGATGCGGCGGGATGAACAGGGAAGCAGAAGAACAATCTTACCGCACAAGGTTAAAGAGCACATCTTCAAAACTAAAAGGAGGGCGACAGAATGAAGGAAACGATGATGGAAAAAAAAAAAAAAGATTGTTGAGAAGCAGAAACTCACCATCTATATCGCGGTGACTGATGGTAACCATGGAGATGGATTTGGTGAGGGTTTGGTGATGGAACATGGTGGGACAGCTGTTTGTCACTGACAGTACCTGATGTGATGTCTAAAACACACACACACACACACACACACACACACACACACACACGATGGGAAAATAATTATCAATATTATCATATCCATATTGATTATATTGATGTAATATATAACATTAGATCACAATCTTTGATTGAAACTTCCTGTTACTCGCCATTGTAAACAAAAGCAGATCAGACAATTGTTTTCCAGTTATTGTAGATATGGATAATTTGTATTCTTGATCTGGCAAATTATTGCATACGCACCTCATTTATTCTGAAAACCAACATGAGCAGAAAGCTAGATTTAGCTTTCTCTCCATGCATTCTATTGTATTTTAAGGAATGTAGGAAAGCTTACATGGAATGTTTGAGCTGCTGTCTGCAGGTTCACACGACACACAGACACACAGACACACAGACACACACCTGGCTAGCCATGCTGCTTCCATCTCCCTCCTGCTGCTCCTCGGTGAGGGAAACCAGCGAGCCTCTCTCCTGGCTGTCCAGGTGCGAACTCCTCCCCGCGGTAATCTCCTCCTGACTGCCGATGCTGGGGCACTGAGCCCGGACCGCTCCCCTCTCCACCGCCAGACCCTCCAGGCTGTAGCTGCGTGTGGGGGAGGAGACAACACAAGCATGTAACCAGTATGTCTTTTTTTACATGTTGTTGACGCCGCGGCCTCTGAGGGGAAGTTATCATCGACCTATGCTAATTACCTTCTGTTGTCTATTTGCGCCTGATCGGGGCGGCGCAGGTTGGATGGACACCAGCTCATGCTAGACGAGCGGAAAGATGAAGGGTGGATAATGGAAGATGCGCAAAAAAACATGGAATAGAAAGAGGAGAGAGGATTAGATGTTTAATGAAAGCATGAATCCAGAATGAGATTATGGTGTTACGATGACAGAAATGCATCTCAACTCTGAGAGTGACTGTTGAAGTGACCTTTTATTGTGCCTTGTTTCAATTATAAAACGTATTTCTTGTTTCCGGCAGAGAGAACAAAAGATCAGTACAAAGCCAAAGCCTCTGTCTCTGTTTAGATTAATGTGGCATTAATCAGCGTTTGAGGTGACAGTAAGTTTAACTTTGGCCGTGGTTGCAGTAGTCTTTTCTATTCGACTTTGCATCAACTGTCCAGTCTGTACGCTACGAGATTGGATCTTGCTTGGGATCCGATCAGCCAGACCGTATGCCAAGGTGGTCTGGCCTGCATTGAGTTTGGATCTCAGTGAGGTTTGGACAACATATGGACACAATCGGGACAGTTTATCCAAAGTGGTTCTCCATATTCGACATTTTGGTTTTATTTTTGAGATGCAAAAGACAACCAAAAAAATCTTCCTCCTTATATTTTTAAGACTCTTCTGTCCCAGTTGGTACATAAAGTTGGACGGTATTGGCCTTACTATCATGATAGAAGCTTGTTACTCTTCTTAATTCCTCCTGTTCTCACTGGAGTAAAGTAAAGCTACAGTCTGCGCTACAGAGAAAATAAAGAGGGATGTGCTGTGAAACAGATTCCTCGAGTCGACTTGATGCAGAAGTTTGTCTCCGGCTACTGAGGTGTTCAGAACCACTCCAGCTCCCAAAGCCCTAACTGCATTGGATACCATTCAAGGTACTGGGAGTGTGTGTGTGTGTAAACTTTCATGTGAGCAGTCAGGAAAGACGACTGATTCGCCGCACTCCAGTCATAAAAGACAAGAATGCTAAACTTCTTTTCTACATTCTTGTCTTTGAGACAGAGTTTCCACAGTGTGTCTGAAGCGCTCCAGTCATTAGTGACTGACTTGAAAGAACTCATTGAATCTAGTGCTGACTTACTGGCTGTCCCATTTGGAAAGGCACTGGACAGTGACTCGCATACATATCAGTGTCTTTTGTGGCCAGTAGTTTGGTGTAAAAACACACAATGTGCAGCTGTGAAGAGAAGGAGAATGTGGACGTGCGTGTGACAGATGAAAGTGTACCTTCTCCGGTGGAGGGGGGAATTGGCTCTCTTCACCTCTCCTGACGGACTCTTCAACGAGCTGAAAGAAGGGACAGGTGGACTGTCAGTGGAAAGACGGGTGAGGGAGTCGTTTACGTTCATGTTAAAGCCACTAAAACTGTTTCCCCCCACCAAAATACGTACATCCACACATTGGATGTGATTAAACGAGTGTCCATGCAGGCAAGGTGCAACGTATCCTCATAACACGGTTCATATGACATCCTACGAGTAGTCACTTCTCATTTTTTGTGAGTTTTCCTACGAAAGCCAGCAACACGTGTTAATTTCCGCTCATCAGATGCATATGAAAAAAAAAAAAAAAAATGAAAAAAACTTCTGTCTTCACAGGAAACAGGTTAGGTTTAGGCAACAAACCCACTTAGTTAGGTTTAGGAAAATATTGTGAAATACTTAGTTAGGTTTAGTCAACAAAACTACTTAGGTTCAGAAATGATCGTTGCTTGGGTTAGAATAACCACGGAAGTACCACTTCATGCAGTCAAACTTGAGCTTATTTTGTTTTAAAACATTAATTGATCGAATTAATTGATTTAAGTCCTTGAACGTCACATATTTTGTCAGATTATTTGAATGGGCAGGCTAACAATTAGCAAAAGGCTAACGCTATCTGCAATAATATCTGTATCATGTAACCACAGTTCATTGTCCAACACCATAGATAGACAGATTTCCGACTTCACTAACTCCATAAACCAAATAACCCTGGCAACAAGCATGTCCCAACCTCGTGCATCACCTTTTAGTGTCCCCTGGAAACAGTTCTGTTGTCGTGTGTGCAACGTTCCTGGGAAGAGCTAGCGCTTCCACACAACAAACGCACTGAATGACTATTCCCACCCAAATAAAAGTTGGATAAAGTATCACACGAGATATTTTTACTCTGCCGATAAATGTGGACAAACGAAGAGTGGAGTGTGTTTCCACATACGTATTATAGAGAACAGAGGTAGAAAGATGAGATGAACACAGATGTTGGGAGATAGCAGCAGCTGCTCAGAGGTCCTGAGAGAGTTTGGGTGGGTGGGACGCTCTGGGGTTACTCTCTGGGACAAAATAGTCTAACTCCTCCTATGAGATCCTTTGGACGTGGAGTGCCATGAGGAATGTATTTAACAATCCTAACCCAGAAATCCTTTCAGAATGCCGTTTGCCGGATTTATTACCTGCGCTGTGCAATGTTGATCTCCGCGGCGGCGTTGTTCCTGCCCGGCTCCCAGCTGTGACGACGGAACAGAGACAAGGAACAGATGGGGGCTCGCATAACGGCAGAGGGGACGGGATTCTCTGGAAGCTGGTCTTTTTTCTCCTCTTCTTCTCCTCCTCCTCCTGTCTCTCCTCCTCCTCCTGGGATTCATAACAGAAATACAAAAATATTATCAACTGCGACTCTTATGAAAAAGATGAGTTTTTTTAAGGATTATTTTTGGGGCATCTAAGATAAGATAGACTTTATTAGATAGAGACAGTATAGAGGAGACGTGAACAGGGGTTCATAGTCAATAGTTATTCTAAATCAGCAGCTTCCAATAAATCATTTGGTGTTTCTTGCCGGGAGGTTTTCTCGTTATTATAGAAAATATGAGCCCGAACTTGTGTGGAAAAAGTATATGAACATGTAGGATTAAAGAGATGCAAAGTAAAAATTACAAGTAATTAATTAAACTACAGAAATCAAATGTAACAAGCATAGAAATATGAAGTGAATCACACTGTAAGTATGAGTTATTCAGATAATATAAGAGCTAAATTTAATCTCATTTAATTGAAACTATGGCGGGTACAAAGCTGACTGTTTTCCGTTTTTACACATTTTAACTGATATACCAAGATTTGGGAAAAATACAAATACATCCCTTAAAAAAAAACATTAAAAATGTGGAGAAAATGCAAAAGAGCTGGTGATTCTGCAGAGCGGTGAAACGAAGTGTTTGTGAAGCGATCTGTAAAAATTTAAAAAATTGATATTAAACATAAATACATTTTTGGAATCATTTTGAAAAACAAAGAACAAACAGTGTGCTTTACCTCTGTCCTCCGTTTTGGACTTCCAGGACAGTCTGGAGCTCCGAGGGGTCACAGGGTCAGGTGTGCCCACCGACAAAGCCCCCTCAGTGGGACTGAGGGCTCCCTGTGTTGATGCATCATCAGTGGAGGACCAGGAGACTCGAACCCCTCTGTCCCTGTGTCCATCATAGGAGGGAGGGTCTTTGGGCTTAGGAGGAAAAGAAGACACAAGAGATGAAGTGTAGACTTCATTCGCTAAGTGGAGAGCAGAGTCGTCCTTGAATCAGAGGATCGGCGGTTCGATCCCCGACTCCGCTAGTCGCATATCGATGTGTCCTTGAGCAAGACACTTAACCCCAAAATTGCTCCCGTAGCTGTGCCTACGGTGTATGAATGTGATAGAATCTGATAGACAGGGCACTTAGCCCCTGCCATCAGTGTGTGAATGGGTGAATGATGACAAGTAGTGTGAAAGCGCTTTGAGTGGTCTGAAAGACTAGAAAAGCACTATACAAGTTAAGTCCATTTAGACATTTATTAGGATAAACCCCTCAAGATGAAAAAAAACTTTATTTTTAAGGAAGTCATTAAAACAATTATAAAAACATAATGATCCATAGACTCTCATGCGATCGCTTCAGATTTTCTTCATTTTTATACTCGTTACCCGGAGAGGTTAGTAAGAAGTTTTTGGAATTTTTGGAAGTTTCTACGTATAAAACGGTGGCGCTAACATCAGCAGAGCACGTTAGCACATCATTAACCAGCGTTAGCAGTTCTATGCCACGCAAGCTACTAAGGAATGTATAAACATGCTGCTTTAGCTTTTTAATGAGTCATCTGTCTCGATCACCCGGTGATGGTGGTGGCTCACTTTTACACTGTGATCTGCATGCTTTAGCTTCTATCTTTATCTTTTGAACCTGTCTTCGCTGCTAAATCGGTTTGACATCCAGGATAGGTTCTCTAAACGCATATTGTAGGCTCTTCTGTCTGCTTCTCTCTACAATCGCTTTTCCCCAAAAATGTATTTCTACTTCTTCAGGGAGTGGTTAGTGACAGTGTGGGTTCCATCTTTACGCAACCAGTGAAAACGTCTTATTAATTCAGGTCTTAACCAATCCAGCAACTCCTCACACAAACAGTGATGGGTTATATGAGGACACCTATGAACTACATTTCACCAAACACAAAAGCCTTCATCCTAAACTAGTCTTGTTTGGAAGTTGCAAATCTTCACTTTTTGATCTCTCTATCCCTGTGAGGACATTTGGTATTCATAGGACTCAAGTACTCCACATACAGACTCCTGCCTCTACAATCCCTCCCAACAGCAAAAGAGTGTTGGGGTCAGATTTCAAAGAATCCTGTAAGACAGCAGCCACATGTCGTCTCTGGAGTTGCAGGATTGTGGGAAAAGTCAGTGGAAAAATACCTCATCCAGAACAAGTGAGTCACACTGAGCTTCACTCCAAACGAAAAGTCTCACAAATGTTTCACAGCTTTCACAAATGTCAAAATGTTGAATAAAAATGCTCATCGATCCCCTGATCTAGAGTGAGGACTATGAGGTCATTAGCGACAACTCTTTTGGTGCCACATGTTGTCCCCGTTGCTATCCGTGCAGTTGCGTGGAACGGCCAGTCAACTGGTTTTCCTCTGGTTCCTGACCAGCTGGGGAGGGGGAATGTCTTTTCTGTCTGTTGCGTAACACTCCTTCCATGTTTTTTTCCCCCACCCTGGTTCATTTTTGGAAAAGTGCAAAAGGCGCCGCCGTTATTTCGGGCCCTGGCACGGACAACGTGCTGTAAAATTATGAATTTCAGCTGCAGTGCCGACTTAAAATAAAAACATCCGACACCGGCGTTTATGTAGAGTACCACCAGAGATCTGAATGCAAGCTCCTGCCCAGGAGCAAACACGTGGATGTGTTTCTTACCCTTTTAAAGACACCGTCATCCGGTTCGGCGCCGACTTTCAGGCCGTCTTTGTCTCTGTGCAACAAACACACTGACACACAACCTCTGTCTGGATGGACGTCTGGGGGGGGGGAGAGACAAAACAGAACAAAAAAACACCTGGCTGTGTCAGTGATGGAGGTCAGGAGGTGAAAGATCTTGTTGTGCAATAGAATACTTGTTGCCGTGTCTGAGAAACAGTGGCTTGTTGCAGCGCTGGTTGCAATCCACAGAGACAGGAAGTTGACCTCATATCACCCAAACCACAGAGAACCAGCCTGAGTGTGTCTATTTCAAACAGTGAGCAGGCCTGGTGAACATAATGTCTGTGAAGGGTTACTTCAAAATGACATCATTACGGTTACAGCTGAACAACAGACCAGACACTACATAAAACCTGTCTATGATGCCCGTGTCTATAATAGATTTTTAACATACTTATAACGCATTATAATCTATATTACAAGTGTGGGAATTATAATGCACTGGGATCCTTGCAAAGACTAAATGTCAGTGAGTGACCAGCAATTATAAATAATTATGATACTTGACCTTAAAGGTCAATGAAAAATTATTTAGAATGTGTTAGGATTGTTGTTATAAAGCAATATGAATATTTATGAGGGCTTACAATTATAAATAAATATACAGTGCTACAAGTCGATTGCAACGGGTTACAAGTATGTTTATAATGTGTGGGAGTCATAGAATGTTTTAATCGTTTTCCACTCAGCTTTTTTAGCAAAAAGCAGTGAAGCAATCAATAACATTACGAATAATGTGAACGCCAGCACAATCAAAGTTAGCTGAGCTAATGTTGGAGATAACCGAAAGGGTCAGTTTGGATTTTTTTGAAGTGGGGTTGTATGCATACTCCCCGCGTTCTGCGAAGGTAAAGTTACTGTTTTTGTCAATGTAGTCTTGTGGTTGGCTTTGACGAGAGCAATATAAAGGCTTCAGTTCCCTGTCGGAAAGGGCTGTCTGACGGCAAGTTAAAGTGTCTGTGGACGGGGTCAGCAGAAAAACGTATTTTAGCCACCTAAAAAAAAGATTAAAGTGTTTGCTATATTTACAATATTTACAACCCCTTACCCTGGGCTTCAGACAAACATTTCGAACATGGAGCTAAAGCCATTATAACACAGTTTTTTTTTTAAAGTCAGTTGCTGGTCTACCACTGCATCTGATGCATACGTACAGTATTTTGACCAAAATCTGTTGTGATTTGAACACAAAGAACACCGCTGGGAAGCTACAGAATGATATAAAAACATTAAAAAAAAAAGTTAATGATAGTGGACCTGCCCTTTAAGACTTTACCTGTACATGTTGTCACTGTGTTGGGTTCAGGACAGAAAACATCCCTCTCCCTCTGGATCTAAGAGAGAAAAAGAATATAGAGGAGGAAAAGAAAGAGTCATTTCTCTGATGAACATTAACTCATTGAATTGTTTGGAGTTCCAGATAAATTTTATTAAGGTCTTTGTAGCACCATTTTTGTCTTGCGGTACCAGCCCAAACAACCATCTACTGGTTCTGTGTTCTCAGAGCCCCATAAATATTATAATATCCTAGCGTCACACCCACTGGCTTCATATGTGACCCCACACACACACACAAGCATTGTGTTTGTCTCAGATGTTTGAGCTATAGTGCGAGCATATCGTTCACTAATGCACACTCACATCAGTTGCAGGTCACAAGCGAATGACTGTTCCACCCCTGCAACCAGACACAGCCGGTTTCAGTGTAATGTCAGAGAAAACGTAGGAGGGGGTTCTCTACGAGACCTCTGTGTTTATTGTACAGAGAAATAAAAGACAGACGAGCCATATCTGAAACAATAATCCGCAGTAGCAGCTGATGTGATCTGGTGAACGAAAATGTCCCTTCGGCATCGCCCTCAACCCCTCACCCTCTTGACCCCTGCATTTGTGTGAAGTTTGACTTGAGTGCGAGTTAAGCAGAGATTTTTAACCAGCACACAGAGAGCCAGTCTGATCTAATCACAGATATATTGGTATCTACACTGGATCATTCAGAAAAAATGTTTGACCACCAGAGGTATGCATGTATTTAATGTACAAGATACAGCAGTCTAACTCACTCGTTTAGAATTCAATAAATAATATATGGTTCAATACAGTTTAGGTCGATGGCATATAAGATGGTTTCATCAGCACCACTGCGATGTTCAGTTGGAAAATAAATATTTACGTATAATGTAAATATCGGGGGGGGACACCTTTATCAACCGTCTGTGGATTTGTTTTGATCAGACCTTCAAAAAGTGCAGTTCAATGTTGCCTTTTATCAAGCAGGTATAAATCCTGACTGCTGTGGCTGAAGGACAAAGAAGGAGAACGAAGCGAGGTGGCTCATTCATTCCATCATCGATTTCAGGAGCAGCAATAGATTTTTTCGTTCCATGTGAATTTTACTTACTAGCCGTCACAGTAGCTCTCGTTCTGAAGGGACACTCCAAACTAACCAAACCAAAGCTACAGAATGTGTTGGATATTACCAACCTGACATGTTTGAAGCGATGGATTTTAAAGTCCCCACCACTGGTTTGTTTTGCAACTCCTGTAGGCCGAGCCATCAGAATGACTTCATATTTAGTTGTGTCATTGTTTAATCACTGAAGCCATTGAGTCCTTTGTCCCCTCATCCACTTGTCTCAATGGATCTGTTGTCTTGGCTCCATGTTGCCTGCTCTGTCTATTATCGACATCCTGCACAAAAGACAAATCTGCACAAAAGAGCGACTCTCCAACACGTAGGCGACAATCTAGTACCAAGCTGCACATGCTGGATGTCTGCGTGAGGACTTGGTGAAATCTCATTTAAATCCTCATTAATATAAATGTTTCTTCCCCTGTACTTTCCCGAATCTCCTTCCCAAAAAAATGTAACTACAGATCATACTGTATTTATTTTCACATCAAGATGATCTTAAAAGATTTTTTTTGACAATGTATCATGTTCAACTTTAAAGCCCTGATCTGTAAAACTGAGCTTCTCTCCAAAGACTAATGCAAGCACCACTTTAAATGTTTACCAAAGGTGTGCTCATAGCTTTCTTGAAAATAAGTCATTTAGCATGAAAAAAGCATAAAAAAAGAATAGAGAATGGAGCCACCGTTACTCAGATTTGCAATAAATGTAATGCATTTGAAATTCTTTGCAAAATGCCACTATAATAAGGCAGCCAGTCAAACAACTTGTACTGATTACTATATAAAACAATAATCCCTGATATGAAGACTCCACAGTCTCTTTGGACACCAAGCTGGTCACATTGTAAAAACTCCTGAGATTAGTTTGTTGTTAGAAATGGTCTCATCTAGTGATGGCGAGATGAAGCTTCATGAAGCATTGAAGCTTTCTATCCAATTGGTTCACTCGTGGGCCGAAGCTTCATGGTGCTTCATTTGCTCTCCTGTGCCATCAAGTGGACAATAAATGTAAAACAGGCAGAGTGATTATAATGACACCATGGCTTTGGTGTGTGAAGCTTTGAATTGAATAAATGAATGAATGATGTTTGTGATGGTCGAATAGATTGCAAACAAACGCACAATAAAGTCCCAAGTCTTCGAAATGTGAGGGGGAAACGCAATGGATCCCCATTTCGCTGCCTTATATTTCTAATCGCACGCCAAACCCGAGAACCATTTCCTGAATCAGTCACGTGGTACGGCTGGCTCGCGAGGCTTCGAACGTCACCACATACTGTACGTCATCAATACAAGCCTCGATACGCGTTTCACAAAAATGTTCCCGATTACTCGACACTCGCTTTGAAGCCTCGACACGGAAGGACACAACACCAGTCTCATCTGCTTAGTTTTTGCCATAATGTTTTTAAACCGCCATTTATTCTCCTCATACATCACCTAAGCTGACAAGAAAATAAAATAATTTAACTCTGTAGCTGAATTAATCAAAAAACAAAATATGATTTGTATTTGAACCTCACCTTTAAAAATAAATAAAAATGTCAATGGTTCGAACTCAATAGTTGCAATAAAACTGCACATTAGTGTGAAAATACAAGTCAGAATTGCATTGGGTCATATTGGATGACTTTCTTTACAAACTGGAGGTTGTGCATGCGGTGGGATCAGGCCCAGGTTAAATAAAAAGTTATTGGCTTTAAAAAAAGTTCCTTTGATCCATTAGCTTGCAGTGAAGCGACGATCTCTAACTTGCACCCCTGCTTTCCTGTCTTCGCAGCATCAAGTGTCAACATCAGATCGTGAGCTAAAAACATGTCAGCTTTATTCTGAACTGAACAGGAATATTACTGCAATAATGTATTTGGTTACACCCCTATTACAAATCTGAAATAAGGAAGGTTTCCTGGCTGTGGATCTTTGACATGACACATACAGCTCTCGTGTCTGTAGCATAGTGATCTTTTTAGGCAGGGAGCTTCAATTCCAGCGAGGTGCAAAGGAACCTAACAGAACTACAAACATGTAGACAAGGACAGTGATCTTAAGTGTATTCCAGGACGTGTTATGCAATCATTTACTTTTCCATTATTAGCCACAGATGGTTGTCTCAGCATTTCCAAGGATGCTCTTCAACACTCTTGAGAAAATGCGCCTGGACTGGTATTCGGCTGTGAGTTTTACTTATGGGTGAACAGAGGATTTTCACAATGGATTTTTGCCTCCATGATCGTCTAGAATGATGGCATCATTCTGTGATTCTGAGGGACTGACATCAAATTATGGAAAACATTTTAAGCAAGGTACATCTTCTAACTGTATTAAAGGATAAATCTATTTTATTTGTTGTTCCTTTTATGATATAAACCGCATGCCCAATGCCTAATATATCTTCTTCTTCTGTGCCAGAGAGCTCCATTGTTGTTAAAAACACAGTGAGTAACACAGTTGCAATGGATGACACGTTCCTTGACACTTCAGTTTATTTTGAGTCAATCCCACAGACTCCGTGCTGCTGCCTCAAATACTCACTAGAGCACCGAACGTGGATTAATCCGCTGCTGAAAACAGTCCCTAACAAATGCACCATTTCCTCCTGTATGAGCACAAAAACTACAGTGACCAGCTGTTTTTGGATAATTGAGTTATATATACTATACATATATATTTTAAGTGTTTTTTAAAGATTTAAGGAAAGTGTGAAGAAGTTTAAAAGAATACTGAGAGTTCAGTTGAAGTTTAATTTAAGTGAGATGAAATCATTCGGGTATCTTTATTCTGGTAGTTGCATGTAGATTTATTGGCAATGTTTTGTCCTTCAAAGAAGCACACGTAGGATGACCCGGATGGTTCCCTCTGCTGCCGCTCAGCCAGGACACACTAGACAGGAAACGAAAAATTTGCTGCTGAAAAGACAACAACTTGACTTCTTTGTGTATCCAACTCAAACTGCCTCATATGAACTTCAGATGAATTTAAGGACGTATTTTCTGCACAGAATGAGGACTGGATTTTGTGCTTACAGTGTTCCGTCTCTTCAAGTGTAGTCTTGTTAGGATGAGATCGCTTCATGGCAAGTATGGACAGGGTGAATGATTACAGTGAGTTAGCAATAACTCAACGTACAGTAAATGTGCCAAGTAAATCTGAGAGAAATAAAAGCCAAAATTACAAGTCATGAGATTTTCCCCCTTCACACTCATGATGTATATAGGTGTGCCTCAGTGTGACACGTACAATGAGAAGCTGTCCGAAACCCTCAAACGTAGAGCCAGACATGAGAGACCTCAAATGACATGTGGGCCGTGGTGTTAAAGAGAGCAGGAATAAACAGCCTGGTGAAATGATCCAGATGAAGAGAGGATGTGAGCGACGTGGGATGAGAACACCACTCATCAAATCTGTGCTGCTGCAGTTGGTGTGGCCTACTGTATATATCTCTGTGTATCACCCAGGCGGCAACCTCCGGTTCTGCTGAGTGAATCCGATGCGGAAGTGTCTTAAAACTTGCATTCTCTCTACTGACCATCAGGGGGCGACTCCTCTGATTGTATAGAAGTCTATGAGAAAATGACTAATCCCCACTTGATTTATTACTTCAGTAAACATTGTAAACATGAGAGTCAAACAGACCATAAAGCGGACTATGCTTTAGGGGCGGACTTACTGCGATTGACAGGTCGATACCTCTACCAGAGACGTATACGGGCGTCTCCACATCACTCCTCCGCATTCCAAATATGGTAACTTTAGTTCATTGGCAGCGAAAAAAACATGGCGATGGCTGTAATCCAAGATGGCGATGGCATAATCGCAAAACTCAAGGCTTCAAAACGACAGTCTAAACCAATGGGTCACGTTCCCATGACTACGTCCACTTCTTATATACAGTCTTTGCTGTCATCTCTGTCCAGATGAC